GCTGCGGGTGAAGAAAGGTACCATTTTAATATGTATGTACATAGACAGTATGGCCGTTTAGAAGTTGGGCTCGATTTTATCATTCATTTACCTTCACTTTTTGCGATAGTGTTTCCTGTTCTTTGCCTTTTACCTACGTTTCCACGGTATCTACACATAACTATGTACATACAGTGTAAATATGTACTGTAAATGGTTATTACAGACACCAGCCGTGAAGCTGTACCTCGATTATGTAGTGGAAATTGCATAGCTTATTGGAGCTCACAAATTGAGAAGCATTATTATGCAATGTGGGAGTTTCGTTCTAGAAATGTATTGTCGGAGTTTTGTTTTCTGAGGAATTGTGAAGTGTTTGGTTATGCTGCTGTCTGGTTTTGATGATAAGCTTTGATTTGATGTAAATGCTTGTATATAGGCACGGTCTTCCATTAGGTATCGATATGCATTGGCTAATAGAAATAGCGTCTGCTGTAAATTTGCATTATTTTGCGTATCTTTTCTCACACACTGTTATCCATGATCGGCTCCTGACACCTCAGCAGACCGATCATCCTGATCGATCACACACGGACACTAAATGGCTGCCTTGTATCACGGATGACGATGTTACTAGACTCAAGTGACTTCACCACAGAAGTAGTCTTATGGCTTGTGGCTTGTAGTCACCCATCCATCTCTTTGAACAGATTATCCATAGGTTCTTCATTGGATTTACTATCGTAGTAATTGCTCTTTATTCGCCCTTTGACTTTTGAACGTAAATGTGTTTATAAATGTAAGTGCTTATGCCTAATTGATCAAAAGTACCTATTACGCATGTACCTACGAAATTCGTTGTCTGGTTAGCTCAGGCAGTGTTTGCATGTCCTCGTTCCCCTCTTCTCAATAGCTTTTGTTTCTCGATGTCGGCCTTGAGCTGCATGATTTTTTGCAGCATCACTCATTCTGCCATCAGCTCCCCAGCTCCCTGCATTTACCATACAACATCACTGTCTGTCCTCCCGTGGACTTACACCTCTAACCATCGCCTTGCCGGCTTCTCTCACTGCAGGCCCTGAGCAGCATGTCCATGGTCCAGCAGCCCATCAAGAACCTCGACCAGCTGCCGCGCGAGTCTGTCGAGGCGCTTCAGCAGGTGCCGGCCTCGGCGGCTCCGGATACAATCCGCTCATCTATGGAAACGACGTCGACAGCGTGGACGTGGCGTCTCGGGTAGCAATGGTAACTGACGGCGGCTGAAAGGGGTACCGGTAGCCATAGTAACTGGTGGGGACGGCGGCGGCAGGGCTGGTTGTCATGGTAACTGGCGGCGACGGTAGGGGACAATGTTCTGAACCCGGATGCTTGCCGTTTGGAGATAGATGATACGGCCTTGGATAGATGGAAACGGAAATTTGATTCTGCGGGATGTGTTGGATAGGGTGGAGATAAAGCGTACAATTTTGGAATGTAAATATCGTTTATGGTGCCATTTGCTTAAAGACTTGCCCGATATGGGATTCAGAGTCTCAGACGATGAGCTACGAAATGTTCTGAGTTAAGAACCGTTTCTCTCGAAATTGTGGAAGAAAGTACTGAGTTAAAAGTACCCTGAGTTATCGTCTCAGCTGTTTTAATTTGAAGTAAAACAATGTATAGTGAGTTAGATTACGGATACATTAGATACATCAAGCCCCACTTACCCTATAACTAACGTATCTGTTTGCAGATTCGTTTCTTCAACTCTCAGAACGTGTTGGCCAACTTCACGGAGCACACGCGCACCCTGCGGCTCTACCCGCGGCCAGTGGTCGCCTTTCAGATCAACTCGTTCCTCCGGTCACGACCCGGGTCACCCAGTTCCTGAATCGGCTGGCCCGCACACAGGTCAGTCTCAGTGCTTGAAGCATGCTCTCTTCGAGTCCCTGACCCACACGACTTCCAAACAAGGTCCTTCACGTTCGCAACGAACGCGTCGAACGTGCTGAACAACCCTCAAGGTCCAAAGTTCCGAGTAACGACCACCTGAAACGCGGTTTATAACAGAATCCTAGGGCACAGTAACAAGGCTGGGATTAAATGTTTTGTGATTCTCCTTGCATGGCTGATTCTCAAACTAGTTTTATTTTAACAACTTTGTTTCGTCGATCTGCCGCTTTGGTCTGCAGTCGGGGTGGAGAATGGTTTGCGTGTCTCGAGCAGACTGGCGATCCCGGGGCCTGTTTGTAGCAGGGAGCTGACAGTCTGGGGCCGAAATATCCCCGTCTGACGCAACTGCGGCGAATGTGACGCACTCAGAGGGCGCTCAATGACCCTCTCTCGAGTCGCTGGCATTGAACGGGCGAATCTTTGTACGCCACGCCCGCAGAAAACCTGCTCAGAAATGCATAGACATGCAAATGGCGCGGTACGCAAATTTTAAGAAAACTGCGCTGCTTCGGGCAAATAACGGTGTTTATTCAATAAAATTGGGAAAATATAAAAGATACATTGCGAAAGGTCGGATAACCGACACCAACGCATACTTGATATAAAGGCAACGGTAAACAGTTTTATTTCAATCAATCAATCAATCAATCAATCATGTATTCTTATAACACTCCACGTGGTGGCTCTTCCGGTTACGCGTCACATTTTACAATGGTACTCACATTCATGCACATTCACATTCATAATAAAAGGTAGGTATAAAAATAAAAAGTAGAAATAGGTACAAATAAAATGAGACATCAGATATCGGCTGGCTGGTGGTGCGATCATTGCGCCCGCCGAGTACAAGTCCGCGAGCTCGCCGAGTCGCGCGATACCGACTTGCTGCTGTTCCATGCGGAAACAGCACGGGATGCAAAGCAGCGACGAGCAATCTCTGTACGGACCCTGGGCAGCTCCAAGAGTCTGTCGGCTGTGCCTCGAGTGACACGGCTTGACACGGTCTCACGGTAAGTCACACGCTCTCTCAGGCACACAGGCGAACGAGGCGAGTGCAGAATCATGTGCATCGCCGCCAAATCACGCTGATTTAACAGATCGTCAAATCGCTGCCAGCCCAGCTCCGTCAGGAGGGGGGTCACGTGATCATACCGGCGAGCACCCTTCACAATACGAACACAATGGTTTATCACCTTCTGGATGCGGTGCCGCTGGGCCCTGCTGCAGCTCCCCCACACAGTCAAACAGTACAAATGAGGAAACACAAGTGCTTCAAGAAGTCTCTTTTTCACAGGCTCGGTCAGTCTTTGCGAAAATTTTGATAGACCTAAGCCTAAGAAAGCCTAAGAAATAAGAAAATATTTGCAAATACTAAGCAGGAATGATGGCTTTCGAGTGGAGGGAATAGTATGGGGAATTGAACCGAGCTCCCAGCCTGCGCTTTGTGAAATTATCATTCGAAATAATTGCATAACAGTTTGCCAATTTTAAGCACAGCAATAACCTACTTATTCATGTCTAACCTTTATTTGAATGGGGTGCATGACTGGCGAAATCCCACCATGCATTGGAAATGTCAAGATCGAAGGAGTTACCGCTTTCTCATATTAATGCCAGCGGCGGTGCCAGGCCTCAGGGACATGACGAAGGAAACCATAATCATACATTCTGGCGTATTTCAGTTCGCCATGATTCCAATGGGAAATGAGTTGCAGCTCTCGGAAAATACGTCTCACAAGGCTGCGAAGCTATGCATTTCTATTTCTGGGTAAAAATGAGGCCGTCATGGACTTAACGGCTCACTGTCACGTGATTAATGATCGTTCACCAATTGAGCCCGACGGAATTGAGTTACTGAGAAACGCGCTGCCAGCTGCGAGTCTGCCCAGAGCCTGCTCCGCACCTCCCTTCCCCTGCTCCTACCCCTGCCGTGCCACTGCGCCAGTCACAGCGGAACTGTGCTCGTTTCCCCGGCTGACTTTCAACAGATTGCAACCGAATCGGACGGACAAAGTTTTGCGTCGCGCTGTTGGCCTTGCGCGTTTCTTTCGACGATTCACGCTGCGACAATCGTACGACGCGGAACCAGCGGACTGCAGAAAGTCTTGTTCGTTGGCACTTGCTCGCTTCAGTGATTCTCCGAAAACTGGTCGCTACCGTGAGTTGTTTGACCGTAGCTCGAATTTCCGGGACTCTGGCCGAGTCTGGCCGTCGTCACCGCGCGGCGGCCGACTGTGCAGCGGCTCTTGTGTTCCCTGTGATCAGCGTAATGTGGGAGGCCTGTGTCTAGCGGCAGTGCGGTCCTCAGGCGGCGCCATGGTGCCAACGGGAAGTAGCGGCTCGTATTTCCAATAAGCCAGACAAGCGTGCATGTCTGCTGGGGCTTATATCCGTGCCAAAGAGGGCTGTCTGAAGTGGAGAGCGCATATGAAGCGTGCCCTCTGGCCAATCCCGAGGATATGAGTGGAGGACATTCCTTATCTCATATGTAACAGCAGCCTACGAGCAATGGCAATACATAAATCGGGCTCTTCGTGGATATTCAGTGAATCTATAAACGGCACTGTTGATAAGCACCTCCGGATCATTACGGAGCGAGCGAAGCGAGCGTAGTCTTTCCTTAGATTAACGGAAATTTCTGAGTATGAGCGGCGGCCGGCCGGCCGGCCGTGGTCACGCTTTTGCGAGGCTTATATCTCAGCAACCACTTGACCGATTTACACGCGGTAATTTTGTATGGTAGCTTCATTCCTTCTACCAAGTATTGGACTATTCCCGATCATGTGGGGACCCCTTATGCACGTGCCACGTGCAAAACGAAGAGGTGTCAGTTTTGTAATTGTTGCAATATCTCGGTAACTACTTGGCCGATTGCGCTGAAAGTTGGCATGTAGGTAGGCACCCACTAGGCACTGCATATACATGTGCCAGAGTTGGGGTGCTGCTGCACGTGCGCACGTGCAGGGGTCGTTTCCAGATCTCGGGAACGGCTGGACCAATTGCGCTCAAATTTGGTACACGGTTAGGGACCGGTTAGTAGGGTGCCGTACACAAGTCAGTTGGGACCCATCTTGCACGTGCGCACGTGCAGGGTGCCGCTTCCAGATCTCGAGAACGGCTGGGCCGATTGTGCCCAAATTTGGCACATCGCTAGAGACCAGTTAGTAGGGTGCCGTGCACAAGTCAGTTGGAGGTACCCCCTCGCAATTTCGCACGTGCAAGTCCCACCCTCTCGCTCGCTCCGTTTGTCGCCCCAAAAGGCGTTATACTGGTAGGTAGCATATTAGTTTCTCTGGTTTCAAAAAAACACAGGCACGTTTCTGCCAAGCCGATCTGCTAGAATTGATTTGAACTAATTTCGGCTTCAGTTTTCCGTTATATAAGCTAATGCAGCTAATGCAGCGATCGCATCTGTCAGTTTTTCTTTGCCGTCTTTATATAGCCGTGCACGACGGTCCCCTGTTGTCAACTGTACTGATGATAGTCTGTGATCGCCGTAACGTGTCTGTTTTCAGGCGGTCGAGTACCTGGCCGAATGGGCGCTGTCCCCAACCAACGCGGCCTTCCTGCGCGTGCAGACGGGCGTGTTTGATCCAACCCAGATCGGTGAGTCGCCTCTTCTTCAGAACGAAACATACTTATGTTGCATGTGTCATCTATCAAAGCCCCGCTATCAGCTAAAGGCTGCTCACGTCGCAAAGATAAAGATCTAAAACTGTTTATTCGCTGCCATCCTAACCCCAGCCTCTCATCACTCTTGGGATTGACTGACATCCCTACCAACTGCCTAATTGACCTTCTTTATCAGCCACACTGCCGAGTGCCGACGTCTTCATACTTCACACGCCTCCCCCGACCCTGCCCGCCTCTCCCGACACCGGGGGGCCCCTAGCGACCGCTCCTCTCTGCCGCTCGGCCGCCGCTGTCCTGACCGGACCGGGACAAATGAGTCCGCTCACGAGCCGCGCGGCTAATCCCGCCGCCGGGGACGCTCGGAGTCGCATCTCGCTCGTTACGGGCACCGTGCGGAGTCCCGGCCGAGCAGAAGCTGAGAAAGAGGCGCAGGGGAGCTGGGCTGTAGCGTGTAAGGGGTTTGCGGCTGACGTGGAGCGGGTAGCTGCGTTTTCAGGCGGGCGGCAGGTAGGTACGGAGAACCGCTGCTGGTGGAACGGGGGATAATTAGCGGGACGTTATTAACTATCGATCGAAGCCGGCGCCGAATGGGACACAGGCCGAACGAGCTTCGTAGTGACGTCAGACTGAGTTCATCCTCCCCGTGGAAGGAAGCGAGTGATTTTCAGGTCCCCTACCGCCTTGTGACCTTGCTTTAAGACTTTTAAGTTGCAATGTACCTTATCCTTGGTCTCCGGCCTGATCTTTGATCATTTGTTTAATTTGACGACTGACGGCTATTTCTTATCCTGGCTTACCGCGCTGGCCTGTGATTGGGTCATGTGACCTACCTTTGTCACTACCTTTTCATAACTTACCCCACCCTTTCCCGCCCCGCCAGGCGACAAGGTCAAGTGGTACAGTCACCATCCGTCCCCTAACCCTCCCCTTTTCTCCGCCGTACTCGGCCCTAACCCTCCCTCCGCTCCACCTTTAGGCGACAAGACCAAGTGGTACAGCTCTGCTGAAAATCCTAACCCTTACTCTCCCCCCCCCCCGTCAGGTGACAAGGCCAAGTGGTACATACATACAGCCACAAGCTAGGGACCTCCCCCCCTCCCTCCACCCCACCAGGCGACAAGGCCAAGTGGTACAGTCACCAGCTGAAGGTAACCCTCTCCTTCACTCCTCCTCTCTGCCAGACCAGGCCCATAACCCACCCTCCGCTCCTCCAGGCGACAAGGCCAAGTAGCCACCATCCGTCCCCTAACCCACCCTCCGCTCCTCCAGGCGACAAGGCCAAGTGGTACAGCCACCAGCTGGAGGCGGTGCGGTTCACGGTCTGGAGTGACGCCGGCAGCCTGGGCGCCGCCGTGCGCGCCGCTACCTCTCAGACGGAGGCGGTGCCCACGGACGAGTCCGGCTCGGACTCGGACGGCGCGCCGTCCTCCAGCAGCTCGTACTCGTCTCTGAGCGACTTTGTCTCCGAGATGCAGCTCTCGATCTGTCGCCCGGTGAGTCGGGATGGCGGGTGGGGGGAGTCAGAGTCAGTACAGTAGAGGGTTGTGCCAGGAGGTGCACAATGCTGCGACTGAACATTCGTAAATGGAATGCGACTTCCTTAGGCCGATCTAATACCTATTAATGCGGCATAGCAAATGTTCTAATTACGTACCTACATATGCGTTGTAAGCTGGTGCACTCAAAATATGTGCTTTGATCGTAGGTATGCTTGACGAGGTCTCGGCGTTTTACACTTCACGATCGTTATCAGAAAAGGAACCGTGATATTTGCGATAGTACTGAGCCACATGCAACTTGAGTGCTGTCTTTGGACATGATTGATGGCGCATGGTTGTTTTCCGTGCATTATTTCCTGAAACTGGTTAATGGAAAGTGAGCTCGAGTTTTAATCGCGCTAATTTTCAACTGCTGCGTTGTTAGCCTCGTTAGTCCGAGTTGCGATTCTGTCTGATTATGCGGGATCTAGCTCGGGTAGGCTTTGCACTGTGCTTGCTGGTGGGGTCGAATAAGTAATCTGCTTTTGGAGCCGTAGCCATCTATTATTGAACTACAGCCGGAATTTGCATGAGATCCAGGGACTTTTGATCTTGTTCTTCATTTACATAATTATATCGATGTGGTGGTTCTTTTATGCTTCGTTTCTTCTCCATCCACCTGTGGGATATGACTGTTTAGTGCCTACTACGGTGTTTGGATTATTATACATGCCTGCGGCGTTTTGTTTACCCCTGCCATGTCTAACGATCATCAGACTTCAGCTACCGATGATAATAATAGACTCCACTCTATGCCAAGGCTCAAAACGAAGGTAGCTTTATCCGTTAACTGATAACGCTCTGAGTCGAAATACTTTACAGTTGTTACGAGTGGTTACGATCTCCAACATTCGGCTGTTTAATTTTATTCTCCAAATAGGACCGCAGCTAAAGTTGCCATGCTTCATCTCATGTCGTGCTATCTTCTTTCGAACTCACATTCTCCTCCGTTGTCATTTGGTGTTTCGCCTCCTATAAGCCCTTTTCGAAAACGTTAGTGAGCAGTAAGGAAGTAATCAGCGTGGCTTGCATGTTCATTGTTCATGCCCAGGTTCTGGCACGCTGCAGTTCACAGTTTCCCGGCCGTTCTGGCGTCGGACGCGTGCCGACGGCAATTTACATGGAACAGCACGGACACAATGTTACAATGGCACGCAATTTAACGTTCGTCCCATGCAACGCTGCGGATATTGCGCTGTAGTACACTTTGACTTATGTGCAGGACGCTCAGTTTTCAATGCAGTGTCTATATAGCTCCATTTTATCCTGTACACAGTGTATAGTGCTGGATCTGTGTTGTATTTACAATGACCTGTTTTTTCTCCCACTCACTCACTCACTCACTCACTCACTCACTCACTCACTCACTGACTCTCTCTCACTCACTCACTCACTCACTCACTCACTCACTCACTCACTCACTCACTCTCACTCTCTCACTCTCACTCACTCACTCACTCACTCACTCACTCACTCACTCACTCACTCACTCATTCACTCACTCACTCCCCACCCCTTCTCCACCGAAATCAGTTAACCTCACCCCTCCCCATACTTCTTCCAGCGGTGCTGGAGCCGGCCGGCGGCGGTGTGGTCAGCGGAATAGACACCAAGTCCGTCTACACGCCTCCTTCGGCTCTGCTGGTGCCGGGCTCGGCCCGCTCCTCGGACTCGGCGCACCAGTCCTCGGGGGGCTCGTCCTCGCGCTCGTCCATCTCGTCCCAGGGCGGCGAGGACATGCGCGAGACGGCCGATGAGGATGAGGACGAGGAGGAACAGTCTGTCTACCCGATACAGACGGACGCCGTGGTGAGTGCTGCAACGCTGTAGATGACTAAAATACAGGATTTTGGTCGGGAAGGAATGTAGGAACATTGGTAACATACACAGCGTGCCCGCGGGGAAAATGTATCAAGGATTAACTGGTGCAGATTTGAAGGTGTTGCACTTTTGACATTACGGACATCATATGCATACACTTGCCTTTTGTCGTTGCGAGGACCGGTTGCCGGTAGCCTTGCACAAGGTCCGAGCTCCACGACAGCCGCTAGACCGATCTATCGTTCTGTCGGGTAATGTACCCAATTACGTCTCATAAATGTCCGTCTGCTGACGTTCGGCGACTATGTGCGACAGCGGAGGGGCGGCCCGGGCCTGATTGCACGCCCCGACAGCGCCGGATTTCCAGCTCAATCAGCCGAGACCATTGTATATATGTTACGAGCCATGGCCGAAACCCGGTTTCAGCACTCTAAATGAGCAGCCGCATGATGTATGCTGCCACAGGACACGCCAGACTGCCGCTGCGACACAGGCTGTACAGTGTACATTCATTATTTTGGACGCGTGGGTTATTTATGAGTGCCGCGGTCACCGGGGTCTGTGTCGCTGGGGCTGTAGCGTTGGAGATTATGTCCATCTAATTCTCTCATATCCGCGGGGATGCTCAGGACGCCTTCTGGAAGGCCATGATTCGCCACTCCAACCTCAAGTACATGCAGGACCGCGCTGCGGCGGGCCGGGGACAGCCGGCGGAGGGCCCACCGGTGCCAGAGTTTCGCTCTCTGCCGCCCAGCCAGACGCTCTCCTGTCCGGCACTGGCCGAGTATGGCGAGCCGGAGCAGTCTTCTGATGATCAGCTACAGGAGGACGATCACCAGGACCTTGGACAAGCCGTGGAAGAGTCGAAGGACGTGGAGAAGAGCCCGCCGCCGGGGGAGAGGAACCCGAAGCGCTCCTGGTGGGGCCGAATGGTATCCGGACTATTCTCCAGCTCCAAACAAGCGGTTAGCGGCGCTGAGTGCGAGTGGAGTGACCTGTCGGCTGGTCTGATCGGCGGACTGGGCTGAGGCTGGTGACGGCGGTCCGATCCCTTGTTTTGGGTGTCCTTGTTTTGGGGTGCATGGGTGGCGGTAACGGGGTTTGTTTTGAGCTGCGGTGCCGCTTCGGCTGCAGTGGTGAGGGTGACGGAGAGGTCGAGTCTCTTTTCGTCTTTCCTTTCTGCTTTGGTGACGGAACGGTTTGGATGTTGATATGCACACATAGCCATTGAACATGCTTTGGCTGATTACATAAATAGATACACAGCACAGCTATTGGAACATTTTCAACGGGTGACTGACTTGAGCTTGCCCTGTTCTTTCCAAGCGTGACATTTACCTATGCTAAGGCCTAACTTCCATTTACGATGTTTTCTTAAATCACGTTTAAGCTCTCTTTTTGTTCGCGTTTCTTACGAATATAACATGATGTATACCTAGTTTATTACCTTTCTGATTTAATTGTGTTTTCATGTGCCTGTACATAATCGATGCTCAGTTTTATATATGACCCCTTTTAACAGTCAACCGTCAGCGATGGTAGTTAAGGACATGCCGTTCATATATTTCCTATAACCCCGTGTGTGACCCCCACCCCTCGGCAGGACGGCCTGGACTCGATGTCGGTCGACTCCGACACGGCCTCGGTGGCCACCACACCGCGCACCGTCATCTCCACGCGCCGCCAGAGCCCCACGCCGTCCCTCTCCTCCGAGACCAGCTGCGCCACTCTCAGCTCAGAGCCGCCCGGCCGGCCGCCGCGCCTCGCCAGCCGAACGGTCAGTCCGCTGACGTCACCGGTGGCGTCAGAGGGTCGCCAGTGACGTCACTGACGTGTCATGTGTCGTGTGTGAGATGAATGGTGTGGTGGCGGACAGGAGAAATCGGTTTATCCGTGGGTGGTGGCAAGGTCAACTGGATTAGGAGAGATTCGATTACGGATTAGATCGTGACGTGCAGGGCGACAAGAATGGATCGTCCGATGTCGTGCCGAGCTGACCACTTAGTTCCGGAGCAGCTCCTAGTGGATTCTTGTTTATGTAGAACGCACCGATCGCTTAACTCATTCAGCTCCCCGATGCACGATATTTAGTACCCTGCAGTATAGTTACTGTTATGAAAAGGCTTGTGTGCGAGGAGCTCCTAGTTCCTCGGTTATAGCACCACCTTCCATAGTTATCTTTCAACCTCGCCTGTCTCCACCCTCACCTTAGTCTCGCTGTCAGCACAGATTCAGCAGTCAGTGAACCGCCCAGCAGTCCGCCCCAGTCCCCGTCTAAACCTCCCAGCAGTCCCGCCCAGTCCCCGGCTGACCGGTCAGCGTCTGCAGGTCTCTCCTCTGCCGACCCGTCAGCTGAGCGGCGGCAGTGTGGGCTCTCCGGGCCCGCCGCTCACCCCCCGGCAGGGCAGCCAGTCGGGCGGCCACTCGGTGCTGGAGCAGCTGACGGCACAGGCGCGCGGTCTGCGCCACAACAGCCAGGAGAGCCTGCTGACGCAGGTGGACAAGGTGCCTGTCCGACGGGCCCGCCGGCGGACCCCCTCCCCCACGTCCGCAGTTCGAGCCGCTGATGGGTGTTGTGGAGCTGATCTGTGGAGCGGCTGTGATGTGTGGCAATGTGCTCTGCGATGCTTAGAATCTGACCGCCGCTGCTGTAGATGCTTACCCCGCTGCTGCTTTTCTGCTTTTCAGGCTGTGCGTATTTGTTTTATTATTTATATTCTTGTAACGCCGCTTTGTGTTGCCGCTGCTGCTTTTGTAGACAGCTAGCAAGGCATCGATTTGCAGCGCGCTATGGCCGAGGTGCTGACACTGATTCCGCTGTTCTGTGATTAGTTTCCCTGTTGGCGCAGCATTTGCCGTTATTCTGACTCTGTTATGACGGCCGGCTAAAGTGGAGCTTGTTTGGCTGCTGTTTCATACGAACGTTCCGTTGATTTTCTTCGAAACGTACACTTAAAAACATTCGCACTGCTGTTCAGTGCAGGGAACACGCACAGTCTTCAATTTCTTGCGTGAAAACAGTTAAACACGCAGTAAGTAGACTTATATCCCGCTGTTGTATTTTTAATTGTGTAGCAGTGGCTCGCTGGTTCCTACATCTCATTTGTAGTACCGACTACCGATCTCGTGCGTACCTCTTTCGAAATGTCCCGTTTCCGCGTCATAGTAGTTATAATATCATTTAACATATAATTGACATACTTATTTGGTGCTGCACGACATCGGTATTTTAGAAAATTAATGCCTTTATTATCGGTCTCGTTCAAGCCTCAGTTATTTGTGTTGTGTTGTAGCAATGGTGGTTTCAACTCTGTTTATTTGAAACTTATGTTGTCGTGAGTACAAGTGTATAATAAGGGCTTCTTGCTCCATAGCTCCGCCATATTTCACATTCGCTGCATCGCCATCGCAATACTAAGGCAGCGTTGCAATTTAGCTTTGGAGTCGCCTAGCGCTGCTATCAAGCAGTCCGGGAATTCAACCCTTGTGTATAATCGATCTAGTTTCGCCTTTTTTGGCTTCCTGGAACGCTCTCACATCGCTCTGGTGACACCGTTTAACCCCGCTGACCGACCGATGTCTGTGTGTCTGTTACAGCTGACCGGTCAACTGAAGAACCAGGTGGCCGAGAAAATTGAGGTCGTCAAACAGCATAGCGGAGAGGACGGCAGTCTACTGGGACATGTGAGGATAAAAACATTTACCTACATGACGGTCCGTAAATTCGGTCTGTGAATTCAGTTACAACGGTAATCCGCTTACAATCTGACGTTGGTAGTTGCAGGGTTTGTCATTCATTTCGTTATTCTATTTTCTTAACTGTTGATCATGTCAGGTGTGTTGTCAGAAGCGTTTCCGGCGGTGTCCAGCTTTAGCGCTGATCCGACATATAATTGACATGCCTTGGTGCTAACCTTGTCTGAGTGCTGAAGATGCCAACTGTGTTCCAGCGTTTATTCAATACCGCTCGTTTTTCACTTGGCTGTGTTCCAGTTACCTCAGCTACCTACTGTCCAATCCCCTGACACCTCTCCCCTATCCCTCCTCAGGCGCGGAAGGAGGCGAGTCACTCGGTGCACAAAGCGTCCCAGTCTGCCCGCGAGCTGTCCCGCTCGGCCAAAACAGCCAGCAAGTCCACCCTGGAGGATCTGACCTTCGTGGGCCGCGCGCGACTGGGCGACATCACACGCAGCGCCAAGGAGGCCGTGTCGCTGAAGAGCCTGGGCAGCCGGGACTCCAGTGGAGGCAGTGGGGGAGGGGGCGGGTCGCTGAGTCACCAGGAGTCGCTGGGGTCCGACGGAGGTCGGAGGGACTCGCGGGGCGCCCTGCAGAGGAGCGGCGGTCCCGCAGGCAACACCGACTTCCTGAGTAACGTCAGTAGCGAGCTGAACGGCATCGCCCAGCAGACCTCCAATCTGTTCAGCGATATATTCGGTGAGCGGGCTGATCTTGGGACAGCTTACCTGTCGGGGAAATGAAACCCTGATCCTGTTGATATTTCCACTTACTCATCGCACTACTCCTGCTGCTCTTGCTACTTGCTACTCTTGCACTTAACAGGGTGCTGTTGCTGTTGGCTTTGTGAAGCCGGCTTAACCTTATTGGTTATTATACTGCTGATATAGGGACGGATTTTGCTAATTGTAAGGACGAAGCACGGGATAAAACCAGACTATCGCCATATCTTTGCTCAACAGGCACCAAGAGCAGTGCGGGCAAATCGTCGCAGTCTTCCAGCTCCACGTCGTTAGCAGTGCCTTCGTTGAAGCCGGCCAGTCGTCCGGCGCCGTTCGGCCCGTTCCCCAAGGGCCGCCGGGGCATGGTCGAGAAGTCGTCCCTGATCCGGCACAGCAGTAACCAGGTGCAGAGACAGGACTCGCGCCAGGCGGCGGCCGTGTACGAACAGCGCAACACCACGTCCACCGAGAATCAAGTCTTCCTGAAAGAGGTCAGACATGGCGGGGAGGTGGGCGGTTAGACTGATTGTGGTATCGTGTTACTTTGTCTAGTTTGTTGGGAAAATTAATTGATCCTATATATTAAATCACTTGTGGAATATTGGATCCTGTTAAACTTCCTCTTAGTATATAAACGGCAGAGAAGCACTACGTGTCAATTTCTAATAATGTTATGAATAGCTTTCCTGTGGGCTGTGACTCTCAGAAGCCATAATTTGTGTCAATTTGATTGCTATTATCCAATATGTGCGTTGACGTCAAATCCACCGACATTACATTAGCTGCTTCTGGCTGTGTCACCAGGTAATAAGTCAGGTGCTGGAGGGCGAGGGGGTCGGCTGGCTGAAGTTGAACCGCGTCAAAAAGCTCATGGAAGACGAGAACTACCGAAACCTGGTGGTCTCCCGTCTGAACCAAACCCTCGACAAGAAGATCGGGCCCGACGACCACATTGACGACGTCTGCGTGACTCGGGACGTATGGCGGGGGATGCTGAAGCTGCTGCTGGCCGTGGTCAGTGGCCTGGAGCACACCTACAGCGAGCACGGTCTGGGCGGCATGGCGTCCGCCTTCCAGGTGCTGGAGATCGCGCACACGCACTACTGGAGCCGGGAGGTGCGCGAGCCGGCCGCGCTGGCCACGGTGGGCATCTCGGCCGCCTCGAGTCCGTTCGGCAGCGGCGAGAACCTGCTGTCGCCGAGCTCACCACGCGGCTCGCCGCTGCCGCCGCCCTCCCCGCAGCGCGCGCCGCCGCCGCAGCTCGACGTCACGCCCGACATCAGCCGGAAGTCCTCCTCGGGCTCCGTGTTCAGCGACGGCTGCGGGAGAGGTCTGGTGCACGACGCGCTCCGCAGTCCCGACGACGAGACCTCCACCTCGGACATGCTGCGCGACCTGCTGGTGCACAAGCGGCAGCTGCTGCTCAGCAAGCTGACCTCGGCCGAGTCCGACAGCGAGGCGGCGCGCGGCAGCGACGGCAGCGACGCCGGCAGCATCATCACCAACCCCAGCTATCTGAAGGCGCGCATGCAGCAGAGCTTTCGCTCGACGGTCAGCGACTCGGAGCTGGACGGCAGCCGGCCGAGGGGCCGCGCCGGCAGCGTGTGGTCCAGCAAGTCGTCCTTCAGCACCGGGTTCCGCTACCACGCAGGCAGCATGATCAGCACGTCCAACACCTCGTCCCCGGACGGCTCCACCAGGACCTACCTGTTCGAGGGTGAGTGAATGAGTCAGCCTGCCGCCTGGGCATTCCCGCGTTGCGAGTTATGGTGGTTTCCTATTCAATTTTTAGTGTCAAATTGAAATGAACTTTCTCGCTCCATTTGCGACGTTAATTAGATACACCCTACTATTTCAGCGTAATGTCTCGTTAGGATTAATGATCCTCGAGAACGTAGCTGCTCAAGAGCCTCACTAATGATTCAATTTTACGTACACTACAGTACCAGGATTATTCAGTGTCGGAGCCCCGCTTGAATGTCAACACTGCTTTAGCGCGTTCTCATTAGGAGCAGATCTAATGATTCTTGTTCTGACTACCCTTTGGGTTCACAATCTGAAACCAGCCGCCGATTTTCCCGCGTCGTCGGCAGGTCTGCTGCACAAGGAGCGGTGTCCTCTCTGGGACCAGATGGCCTTCTGGGAGGACGCCTTCCTGGACGCGGTCGCCCAGGAGCGGGACATGGTGGGCATGGACCAGGGACCCGGAGAGATGATGGAAAGGTAGGTATACCGGCTGGCGACGGTTACGTGGAGATTAAATCACGTTTCTTTTGTCTTTCGAGTTTCGTCATAAAACCTCAGCGCTCATAGTATCGTCATCCATTCATTAGCGAGTCTTCATGGAACCTCTTGAGATGAAAGCTGAGCTTAAGTCAACCACCATTCCTGAGCATCACTAAATTCCTTATTGTGCCCCGACCCCTTGTTATGTAAATAATCCCCTCATTCTGTGCCATCACTTGCAAGGCGCTCATTGTTATGCCTTAGAATGTCATCCCCTTGTCGCTCATGAATGCCGCCGTGACCGTGCCTTATTTCGCCCCGTAGGTATAACTCGCTCTCTGAGACGGAGCGAAAACGGCTGGAGCACGACGAGGACCGCCTACTCTCCACCATGCTCTACAACCTGGTGGCCTTCATGGTGATGCTGCGGGTGAACAAGCAGGAACTGAAGCGGAAGATCCGCCGGCTTCTCGGCAAGAGTCACATCGGACTCGTCTACAGTCAGGAGGTCAACGAACTGCTCGATCAAATCGGAAACCTGGTGAGTTTCGATGCTCATTTAGTTTCTTCGCTTTGATTTGTCAATTAACTTGTTTCGATAACGAGACCAGCCAATTATCGAGTACAACTTGCGTGCGCTAAGTAGATGTCACATAAGTCAAACTTTCCAGTCACGAAAAAGCCGATCTGGTTGTAAGTGCCGTGGAACAGAGTCTCAGCTCGGAGCAGTGCGGGAAAATGCCTGACTGGTAAACTGTACCGCAGTGCGCCGGGGCGTTGCGGCACAGCCTGACTGCCAGAGACTACGGGCGACTCGGCTCCTCGCCGTTTCAGTCAGCTCATCACACTGAGTTGCTTGGCAACCGTTGACAGCTATAATAAGCTGAATGTGGAGTTGCGTACTGCACCATACACTGCAGAACGTTTATCGGTGTGTGTTATTTACAGCACGGTAATGACATCGACCTGCGGCCGCTGGGATCGCGTCAGATGCACCGACAGAGCTTCACCGTCCACTGCGGCACGGACGCCACAGGTATAGCTGCTGATCCCTGTCTCTGAACCATAGCACCACGCTTTCATCGTCAATTATTATAATACGAACTCTGTACCATAACACCACCGTCTCACCGTTCACTGCGGCACGGACGGCTCAGGTATATGCCGATTCCCGACCTTGAACCCCAATAACATCACCGTCTCACCCAATACCCTTCCGCACTGGCAACTCCTGTCACTGGGCTCCGAGATCTGACTCGGTCTCATGCAGATAGACACCCTGGAGACCACTAAATACGATTGCTTTATAACAGACAGGATCTGTTATACCCCCCCGCTCAGATAACTCCTTACAAAGCCTCAGGTTCATGTCCTCCCTGATCCGATTCTCCATTCGTTTCCTGTAGTTCCGTGTTCTCTGCCGATGGCTCCACTACAGTATCAGACGGATAAGACGGATCAGGAGGAATTGGCTTTATCAGCGCACGGAAGCCGAGCACCCCCAGGCGGTAGTATCTGTGACTGATATACTCACCGTTCACCACGGGCCGGACATCCGGGGTTTTACACGAGCCCGAGAGAGGACGGGGCGCTAAGCGGATCTCATCTAGCCTGAACTCTCCGCGGAGCTGGTGAACTTCGGACAATGCAAAATTGCCCTCCATTATGAGTCTATTTCGGGCTGTCATAAAGGCTTGTCTCGGCCAAATTATGTTCCCCGTCGTCTGGGCCAAATTACTTTGGTTGTTTAGTGCGAGCCACTTGTCTGGGTGCCGGGCCTGGCAGACTCGCCTGGAAGTCTGAGGGCTGGATAAAGTTGTGATGGTCACGTCTCAAGTAGGTAAATTGCTCAAGTGCGCTGGTCTGTCTCAATAGCACATTAATTGCTGTAGTTGAATCAAAAACGGCTTACTGTAATGCTTCGCTTGATGCTGGATGCTGCAGTACCATTGTTCGCAAACACTTCTTATATGTCACTCAGGTATATGTAGATATCCTTGTTGATCATATTTGTAAACGCTTGCAATTGTGCTAAGTTGTGAAAGCTGGTGAATAATGGTCCATAAAACACGCAACTAAACATGTAACAAATCACCGTTGTCACCAACACACTACTCATTTGATGACGCGCGGCGATGACGTCTGCAGGCGAGCTGGTGTTTATGGAGGTGCGCGATGACGGCCTGGTGCTGCGAAGCGTCAGCGGCGTCATCATCGGCAGATGGTGGTTCGAGAGACTCGTCAACATGACCTACTCGCCCAAAAACAAAATCCTCTGCCTGTGGCGGCGCAACGGCGGCAAGACGCAGCTCCACAAATATTACACGAAAAAGGTGGGAAGCGCTGCGTCAGTGAGCCGGTGAAGTCGAGATAGAAACAAAACCATACCTTAGAATTTAAGGGAGCTTGCTCCTTTTTAGCTAAAGCTTGGATATTAAAAATACAGGATATTTAGCGTCCAATGGCGTTTCTCCCGGCCGTTTGACACACCGCGTTTTGCCGTCAGTGCAAGGACCTCTACTACTGCGTCAAGGAGGCGATGGAGCGGGCGGCGGCGCGCGGCGCCGGCGTCACGCCCGGACTCGAGCTGGGCGGCGAGTTTCCCGTGCAGGACCTGAAGACGGGCGAGGGCGGCCTGCTGCAGGTCTGCATGGAGGGCGTCGGCCTGCTGTTCGCCACCTCGAAGGTCAGTGGGCCGGCAGCGCGGTCCACCGCGCCCGCTGACAGGGACGCGCCGCGGCCCCGGCCCGACCCGCGAGGCTGGCCGCCGGCAGGGCAGCCGCCGGGGAGAGGCGGCCGGCCCCGAGCGCCGACCATTGCCGCAGCCGCGCCGGCTATCGCCTCAGCCGCGTCGGTCAATGTCGCGCTGCTGGGGCGATGGCCGGCCGAATTATTTGCATTGGGTTCATCTTTTCCTTTTCTTCTGACTGTCAATGGGAATGCTCTGCTCTTGCTCAAGGACCTCTCGATCTCTCCTGTCTAACTTGCTTGCTCGGTCATCTCTATATATTCGTTGCATGTGCAATCAATTGCCATTCTCTATTATACGAACTAGCTCTCTCACTGGCTGCGGAGAGGAGTGGCCGGGGAGCTTTTGAGATGGTCCTTGTCTATGTGAGGAGGTGCGCCGTTTATTATCTATATTATATCCATCCATACAGACCTACCTACTACATATAGAGCCGCTCTATTGCCGTCTGACAGTCGGGACCGCGGAACAGGCCGAGCTGATCGGGCCCGTCTCCATTCCATGCAATCACGTGAAGGATTTCGAGGTACAGGCGCCTGAGTGGGCCGCCGCCGGCCCGCCGTAGTGACCCTGGACTAGACTAGCTCTCCACCGCCGGCCGGCCGGCCGACACGCATGCGCCGGCCGACCGCCGGTCACGTGACCATCTCTCAAGTTGCTTCCACTCTCTTCCCTCGTATTGTATCGGCCTGCGGAACCCGCACGGTTGGCCCGCCCCTCTGTACAGCACGCCCCGCCCACCCACCGCCTGGGACCACCCTCCTGTCCGACCCCCTGTCTGGACCCGTCCCGAGAAACCGCGCCGGACCGGTCAGAAAGCACGGCAGACTCCGCTGGGAACTACCGGTCGTATCGTTGTTAGTGTAGTAGATCTAGGGTAGCTAGTTGGACGTTAAATGCATCCTTGTGTCAGATATTCGACCAACCTTGAGTCGCTATAAGCGACTTTGTTGTAAAGGAAGTGCATCTCGATGTTTGGCACAACCTTGTACTCATATTAGTTTGAATCAATAGACTATTCGAAAAAGTTCCCATTTCAGTTCCCTTATGCATGCGACACCAAACATCGATTGAAGTTGTGGCATAATGAAGTGCAATAGCCTATCACCGCGAGCAAGTCAAATCTGCCTTGGCGGACCACGCGATCCCACTCCCCATCCGCAATCTGAGGTCTGCGGTGTGGTGAAATGTCCGTCCAGTGACTTGGCCGACCGAGTTGCCATTCATTCGTATAGATGCCTATCAGAATTCGAGTCCATGCAGTGTTTAATCGTGACTTTGATCGAAAAACGGTTCTGAGGTGACCGGAAAGCATAGAAAAAAGTCGACGAATCATCCATGTTGTCCATATTTTCGAACATATCAGTAGGATAATTTCATAAGGGCAACGCATACCTTTTCCGCTATTACAGCCGATCCTATCCGCCCTATTTCCGGGCCGACTCACTGCCATTCCCAGCGCACGGTACCGTCTGCCGGTGGCATGCTGGCTTCAGTGATGGCCGCTGCTCGCACCGCCTGTCACGGGCTGAGGCACGCCCGGCCGCGCATCACCCGCCGCACATGGGGCAGAAACGTTTACACTGAGCCGTCCCGGCCGGCACGGTCGGGAGGCCTAAACCGAAATAAGATGCTATAAAAAACATTCTTGGTTACTTGTGATTGAGATCAGACTGATGAACTTAGTGTTCAGCGACGACCTATCTTCGGGTTAGACTCACGTCCGCGGGGGTGAACCAGCGGCACGGATCGAGTGTCCACCTTGTTTTGCCCCATGCCGGCGTGATTTGCCCACATTGCACCCGCATGAAACACATTGCCGGGCCTGCAGTTACTTAGTTACGGCCCTGCCGCACGAGAGATGTTAGAGATGTGATCTGACGATGCCTGCCTGATATTTGTAGAACTGAACGTTTTAATGTGTCAGTTTTTTTGCCCCTGCCTGATGTCGAGTAGCTAGAAAGGTTGAAATTGGTGTCATGCTTCAGCTCCGGAACTGTGTTTAATCTGTCTACGTAGTTGAATTTCTTTCATCTGTGATCTTCCAGGCTTTCTGTATTTGAAGCTCTGAATGATAGACGGTCGCATTTTTAAGGGATTCAATTTGCCCGCGGTGATTGAGTTTAATTGAGTTGCGTCGATCCGTGACCAAAGCATTGTTTACTGTAAATCTGCGTTCCCCTTTCCCTCCGTCTGGAAACCTGAACCTATAGTCAGTGTCTGCATTTGTAGGTTGACTGTGTAAATCTGCTACTTGGAGGAACGCTAGTCCGACGTTTAGAGCAATGTGTTGCCGTCGTTTTGTGTACCCCGTACCAGTGTGTCCCTTTAGCTCCTATGCAGAGTTAGAAACACCACAACCTTTATCCTTTCTGGGCGACAAGAGAAGATTATAGCTGCTCTCCTACATGGAGAAAAGATAGGCTTGATTCCGTGAGGAATTCTCAGCGACTGTGTCCTTAGTGCCTGCCGAGCCCCTGTCTAAATATTAATGTTAGCCATGTCAGCCGATGTCTGAAGTGGCCAAACCAGAGACTTGATATTCGAATCACGAACACGAAGCGAAATTGGTTTCTGTCCTCCAGGAATCAAATGCTGCACTCAGGGTGCAGCAGATAACGAAAGACGCCCGAATCGGCCTCTATCCCTTTTTGGAAAATGTCAGGCTCTCTTTGAGGCTTTGTAATACGTTTTCACTAATCATTTCTACCAGCGAATCCAATCTTTCCAAATCTATTGTCGGCCTCGTACTGCTTCGCAATAGGCTACGCCTGGCGGACACATAGTCCTTCGGATTTTATTTTAGATTTTTCGGATATTCGGATTTCGGACCTTCGTTCGGATTCCATTTCTACAAATCAAAACGAGCCTAAACCCTGCCGTTATGCGTGAGCAGGAAGTCACGCTATGACGGCCAACCTACCGGCAACCGGTGTCATTGAGATCTGAGAGCTGAGCATTGGAACTTTCCACGTCATTGGGCTCACATTTATTGCGTTCGGATCCGGACCTATTCTCAGTAGACAACTACTGGATATCCGATATCCTCCAATCCCTAGCCCGTCCTCGTAGTCACTGTTATCTCAGGATGCCAGTGTCATCGGCAGCCCAGTGACGTCCGTAGCCCAGTGACGTAACGGTGAGGTCATCCCGCTACTGACGGCAGCCTCACCGGCTGTATCGGTCTCTTTGCAGTTCTTCGTCCGGCTAGACCACATACGCAAGTGCTTCACCCAGAAGGGAGGCATCTTTGTACTCGAGGAATACAGTGAGTTGACGTGGCCATGGGGGGTGATGCTGAGGATGATGGAAAGGGTGCTTGAAATAATCAAAAGGCATTTCGTAACAGTTGGACGTTACCGCGGTGAGCTTCTATGAACGGAACTGAGTGTACATCAAACCATGTAGCGGTAACTATGGTCAGCTGACATGGCTGAGGTGCTATTGGTGACATGGCTGGATATTTAAAACGGCGAACCTTTCTTTCAGATCCGAAAACACGACAGATGCTGCAACGAAAATATAAGTCAGCAATGGTAAGTTAAAGCCCCTTTGATGATAGCCAGTTGTTTGACGTCATTATGGCTATACAAGTTGAATGTTTAATGTCCCCTGCCCGAGGTACATCGCCCGAGGTCATCAGTACAGAAACTGAGCATTTTTAGAGCCACTTTGTTTTGTAGGACCCATGTCGCTTCACGCGTACACGCTTAACTTCCTTCAAGGTCTGGCGACTGTCGTCTGATGCACACTGGTCCCCAAGAGTGGCCGGCCACCGAGCCGGCCCTCCCCTTCCCAACAAACACCAACGCCGCCCCCACCTCCCCAAGGCGAACGCGGTGGCTTTCGAGCTGCACCGAGTGATCATGGCTCGGGTGCGCGCCGGCGGTCGGGCCGGCCGCTCGGCCCCCAGCTCGCCGCTCGCCTCGCCCTCACCTCGACCCCTCAGCCACCTGGTGGGCGGCGGACCGGCGCCGCTCCGCCCGCCGCGCCGACCCGTCTCCTGAACTGCAGAGGGCTCCACTGAGCACCGTCTGCTGCCCGGTCCGCAGCGAGAGTAACGTACGCAGCCGCGGGGAGCCGCGGCTCCTCTCTGGGCACGCGCTTTTGTCATGCTCTTTCTCCTTCTCTGGCGAGGGTCTTTCGCCACGCGATATAGACGGAGTGGTGCATCTTTGGCTGGCTCTGTTGACGTTCCAGCTGGGTGTTACACGTTTTTCCTGACTCTTGAGGTGTTGGCTCACGCAATAGGGCTGACTGCTGGCGTTTGGTATAGAAGTCTGAGATTCAGCGAGACTTCGCGCGGCCGGCTGACAATCAAACAAAGGAGTCGGAGGTCGGGACTGGAACGCGGAATGGTTTCAAAATATCGACTCTCGGTTCTTGAATGTCGGTGCTTTGGCTTCTACCTATCGCAAACTGATTGGCGAAGCTTCGGAAAGCTTCACGCAGTCCCGCCTTGCAATCAACCGCGTTGGTAGCCTTTTCAACATGCTGAATGGGATGCTATGGGTTCTGAGGTGCGGTATTGTTGGGTGTTCTTGGTACGCTAACCGCTGGACTATTTTTGTTTTGGCTGCCGTTTGGAGGGGTTGCGTGCTAAATCTGATGACTAGCGGTGGTGGCTGGGGCTGCTTACTTTAACAATGGTGCTGGTGCTGGGTGACTGGTGCTGCAGTGCTCTGTTGCTGGTGACTTCGCTGGTGTGGTGGCTGACACTCTGCCGTGAATACGCGGTGCCCCAATGTTTGCGTTTGACCCAGTGTCTGTGAACTTTGTGCTCCCATGGCCCGACATGACCTGCCCGCTGATAACAAGACCCTTACCTAGCACCTAAAACCGATCGAATCATTTAGAACTCTACTGAATTTTTAGATGGAACTTGACAATTCCACCCCTCATCGAGGTCACATGTCAACATTTTTCACTAACACCGTCTCCATGAAGTCTCATGTGAGTACCGTAGCACCCCAGCACATGCCCTCGCTCCCAGACGTGTCTCTGCCCCTCCCCTGCCACAGCTGATTCCCGCTGGACTCCCCCACTCTGACCGCGGCCCGTCCTCTCTGTCGCAGGCGGACCAGATCTGCTACTCGGTGCTCTGCGTGTTCTCCTACATCGCCGCCGGCTCCGAGCACAAGAAGCAGCAGCAGCTGCCGCAGCGGCTCAGCTCCACGTCCTAACCTCAGTCGTAACCTCGGCCTGGCGTCCTGACCGGCCCTAGTGGTTGGTACTGGCGCTGGGACCTGCAGTGGCGCTGTACGAGAGCCGGGACCTGCAGTGGCGCCGCCATCTGAGACAGGACGAACTGCTGCAGTAGCGTGCGTGGACCAATTGAGTACAGAATCGCTGGTCGTTTTCGCCGAAGCAGACGGGCTGCTGGACACAGACCGGACCATATGAACCACCGAGCCATTCCCAACCGACCCCAATCGCCGAACTAACCGTGACTCGCCGACATAACCCGCACATCCAGCCACAGAACACGTGCGTACGACAGAAGCCGACAGCACCGGATCCCGCGCGCCACGCAGCAAGCTTGAACGTCCCACCGACGCTTTCACTCACGAGGCTTGACTTCAAAATCACACCCGACACCAAACCTCCCCAGTTGAACTCGTGGTCGCCGCAGCGGCCCCGGTAGCAGCCGCTTCGCTATCGTCTACCGCCCGCCGGCGCTGCGCCAGTCTCGCCGCGCTAAGACTGTCTGAGAGATGTTCCGCCCCGAGAGAGATGGGTGTTAGCCCCGCTTCCAAGCCGGCGTCGGTCCCTGGTAGCCAGACGTACCAGGGAGTATAGGCTCCCGGAGAGTAGTGACCCGAGTCCCCGCTAGAGGCGCTGGGTCCCGCCGGCCAGTCGCCGGCCACGGTGCCTTCGTTTCCGATATATCACTGTGTGGGGTGGGGGCGCCGGACCCAGCCGTTCGGTAGGCTAGCTTGTGCCGAGCTGTTGTTGCTGTTGATACTTAAGGCGTGTGTAGTCTGGCGGCGGTCGAAAATACAGTGTAGTGCCGAGGTGACTGATGTGTGACGCAGGCTGTTGGCGGCGAACAGACGACAGACGGACGTGCAAGAGAAGAGGGTGGAGGGGCTGTTATGAAACACATCAGGCAACTGGCGCATGCATACCATCAAGGGATCTCATTAAAGGGACTATCCCACCTTTAACATGGGGTTTGAGTTGAGATAGCCAAGTTTGCGGCGAGGTTCAGAAACCACTATATATCTAGGTTGCAACCCCCGCGGCCTCTTGGTGTTGAAGAAATGCGTTCCCTTCATTTGAAAATGGGCCTTGTACAAGGCCCTACCTTCAACATGGAGCGACCGTTAGTGTGACGTCACCTCGTTCAGTCATTCTGATTTAAATGGGTTTGTTCGTTGAAAAATCGCTTAAAACTTGGTCTGAACTTTGTTGTGGTGCCTACAGAGTAAAAAGAATCAGCTTTATGACAGTAATGTGGCCTGGGGAAGGAGGTAATTTTGGGCTGTGACGTCACATATTTGAAAGTTTGTGTTTGGAATATGGGAAGCCTAAGATGTTTAATGAAAAATAAATGCCAAAACCGTGTTCCTGGTCATCCAATCTATAAAGCCGGGCACAATTTAACTGGTTTTAACATTTTAGAAGGTGGGATAGTCCCTTTAAATGCTGGAATTACAATCGACCGCGTTGTCAGTTTTGCTGAAACCCGAAGTCAACTGGCATTTGGCAATTGTCTTCGATCCCTCTGTTTGGTATATCAGCAGCAGTCTTATAAAACTAGAACGTTGATACGGTAACAACCTGCACATCTCTTTCTAGACGAGGTTAAATGCCTTCATGCCTCCCAACATAATATACCCCCATCCTAAAATCATACCACATTTCGAACACGTAACGTAAAAAGTAATGTGTATTTGTTCAGAAAAGCAAAAACTGAGAAGGCACAGTCACCCTGGAGAACACAATAACTTCGTGACAACCGGTTACAGCGGACAACCTATTCACGACGCCGTTACCTCACGCGGCAAAGAGCAACTTGCAACATATTAAAGCTGATATGGAAGAATAGCCACCATAAAACAAGAGTGGCCACACGGAAGGTTCAGTTCCGCCCGCGGACAGATAAGAATGTGAAGCTCGAGAAAGCTACCGCGCCACCGAAACGGTAAGCTGCCTCCTACGCTCTACTGGCTCCCTTCTAAAAGGATTCGTTGTTGGGATGTGCATATTGTACTGTACAAAACATGACTGACCTACCTACTAGCAAGCGATTCTCTATATTCTGAATATATATATATATAAATAATGAATACTTTGAGCTATCGTGTAGTAAGCAATATTTGATGGTGTACAATTAATTGGTGCACTGGGAACAGAGCTGATAACGACGGATAGACCAGTCAAAGGCTTAACGGACTAGCCAAAGTTTTTGTCGTTCTGTTGAAATTTAACAAACAATGCACAAATGAGCGTAAAAAACCTGAAGTACCGCGAGCAAGCAAATGTTGGGTGCCAGACCCCTCCAGCAACCCAGCAGTGTGCCATGGTCAGAACATCTATCGAACTAGCTATAGCAAACAATATAAAAGAACAACTCCACAATCACGGACATTGCGATTAGTTATAAACTAGCATTGCGAAATGGTGCAGCGTATTGCCTTGAAGCCAGCTTCTTAGAAGCTTATTCTTAAAAGCTTATCTTTACATAGGTTCATGAATGCAAACTGCTTACATCTTATTCGCGCAGCGGCTCTTGGTGCGGCTTGTGACTATATACAAGACAATGGAGGCACGAGGTGCCGAATAACCACCTAGGGGGAGAGTGAGATTAACAATCTTCTGGGAAATCTCCTTATCGAAAATAGAGACCCGGCGACAATGGGTTATGGAACATCAACTGAAAAACGTTACAACACCAATAGCATTTCAATCTGCTTTACAACCACCCATACGAATGGTCGCGCCATTACGCGTTTCACGCAGAATCTCCGACGAAATCTCAGCGATCTTGCTCCAGATCGATTTCTCGAAACTCACCGAGAGGATAGGCGTTCTCTCGCACAGCCAGGGCGACCCGTCACGTGCTCCGGTGCGGTCCCCACGGGTCAGGTCACGTGTCCTTGCGGGGCGGGGTGTCGCAGGCGACCTCACGGAGGGACTCTGTGGAGTCGCGGCTGGGCGAGCGGCTGGACCGCAGCAGAGGCACCTTGGCGGCCGAGTCCCAGCGACCTGTCGGTGAGGACGGGGTCAGAAAACGGCCGAGGGCGGGTCCAGAACGATATAAGGCTGAGGGGTGGCGCTGGCGTGGGATTGGCGAGTGACAGATGAAATGTTCGATCAGCTTACATGGTCATGATTTCAAAGCGACAGACATTAAATTTGCTTCTCGAGCATGAATGAGACGGTTGCAGGCCTTTAAGTATGGAAGAAAACACTATGACATTGATAAATGCACCAGAAATGTGTTCTCTACGCACGTAGCACGGGGGATATCAGCACTAACGGTAGCGAAAATCACATGACATGCTCTCGTATAGGATGAAATCCAAGTAGCAAGCATTACCCAAATTACCCGCGAGGGAACAGTCAGAATTACAGAAACAACCGAACAGCAGACGTCAACACGCCAGCTTACTACTTTCAACATAATTTTGAGTAAGCCACGCTGAAACACCTCTTTTTAACCTAAGCACGGTCAGCAACAGCAATGTAAAACAGAAAGAACACATCAAACTGAATACCCCAATAAAAGCACGCACACAACCGCGCCCGCGACTCAATCGGCAAGGCAGGGAGGGACATGCGAAAGGCGGAAAACCTCGGGGACTGACAGGCGGGGCACCCCGGAAAGTGACAGGCGGGGCATCCCGGACCAGGCAGGCGGGCACCCCAGGGACCGACAGGCGGGCACCCCAGGGACTGACTGACAGGCGGGGCACCCGAGGCGCGGTACTTACTAGGCTGTGTGCCAGGTCAGTGCGGTCGTCCCGGGGATCGCGCATCCCTCCTCCGCCACACACTCGATCTCGGACAGTCCGTCGTGTATTGGTGCGCGAGAGGCGGGCAGCGCACGCACAGATACACAGACACTCTCCATCCGTCCACGACGAGCAGGTAAATACCGGAGTTACCAGCCGAATCACACCCGCCGCCCGCCGGGCGACTGAGCGGGAGGGCGACCCAGAGAGACAGCTCATAGTCACCGGCCCTCGACTAGCTAGCCGCTCCTCAGTCGGCGATAATAATAATTATAATAATATTTCCAGACGCAGTCACACCTCCGTTGTCATTAGAAATGAACGTCATATTATCACCAAACGCGTCAAGCTTCTCTGAACTAAACTAGACTCGTAAACATTCGCTCCCTGCCCAGCACCAGCTGCTGGGAGGCCCCGGTTTTGTTGGATGGGATAGTACGACTCCCTCGAAAATAACATCCATCGCGGAGAGTCTGGCGCCCTCTCGATCAGCCCGAGAACTTGCTCTGGAACACCAGCGTTTTTCACAACACCACAGTCCTGTAACCGCGTGCAGCCCGTGCTACTGACACGGCCAGTGTGTCTTTGGAGCCCGGCGCCGGGGCCGACACGGGAGTAGCCCGGGGCCGACTGAGGTCAGGACAGGGACATCACGGCAGGCTGGGCCGGCAGGAATCAGGACACGACAGGGGCACAGGGAGGAACAGGGCGGACAGTTGTGCGCTCACCCGCTGCCCCCATCACAGAAGGCGGCAGCCGGGTCGGACATAGGACGCCACCTGTCGAACACTAACGCACGACTATTGATGCTACCGCGTCACGACGCTACAAGTAGAACCACAGAGAAGTTTGGCTCCTCACGGATACACATCAGGGACCCATACACATGTACGGAGACAGAACACCGTAACAAAAGCGATACACGTCGAATGGGCCGCGCGCCGGCCTCCACACGGTCGGCGGGACGCCGGCGGCCGGCCGCTGTCGGTCACGGTGCGTGGGACGCTCCCCACTGCTGCCGGGAGGGCTCGGGGAGTCGGGGAGGGTCCCGGGGCCCCTGTGGCGGCGGGGAGTGTGCGTGGCCCTCACAGCGGCGCCGGCCGACCGGTAGCGGCGGCGGCGGCGGCGGCAGCGGGGCGCCAGCTAGCTGGCCTTAGTGCGGAGCTGAGCGCGTGCTGTGACCCGCCCGGGTCCGGCCGGGGACGCACCTGGGCCAGCCGCTGGCGCCGCCGCCGCCGCCGCCGCAGACTGCTGCTTGATGCGGAAGCAGTAGATGCCCATGTGGTCGCAGATCTCTGTGCAGATCTTGCGCCAGTAGTCGAGGAAGTCCACCAGACCCCAGATCTGCGGGCAAAGGGGAGGGACGGGATCAGTAACGGCTGCTGCGGTATGACGAGTTGGTTACACGAGACAACTTGTACTGCATTGTGTTGTATTAGCGTCATGGACAATCCACACATGGCGTGGCGATTGCTGCCCACTTATAAGCGACAATTCTGGGCGGCATTCGAAAACAACTGAAAATGTGCGGTAGTACCTACCCATGATTTCGGCGCAGCTTAGTACTTCGGCTAACATTACCACTAAGTCAAGATACGTTCAATGCACTGACTATCTAATTGAATTTGAAACAAACACTGGCAGAAGAAAGCAGCATTCTTTTCGAGAAAAAAAGCAAGCGCCGCCTACATTAGTAACTGATCTTCGTGCATTCGGATTCGAAATGGCCGTTGTTACCGATACGCCTGGCAATGTGACAAGATGTCAGTGAGGTGGTGGGTGACTCACCAAGCAGACCCAGAGCACGTAGTACTCCTGGAAGTATGTGTTGAAGTACTGGTTCAGGAACAGCATCGCCGGCCCGATCATGGACGAGTCCGAGTACTCGAGCTCCGACCGGGTCATGTGTGCCAACTGTCGGCAGACGGGACGGGGTGGGTCACCGTCACAAGTCAGGGTCGGAACCTGTGCTTGGATGGTCAGTGGACGGCACCCGTCACAGTGCAAACCGGATATCGTAACTGAACAGACCGGCGAAAACAAAAGAACATCCTTTGTCGGCTATAACGCAATTAGCAGTTTGCCTGGTAACTTATAGCCTACTATCATGTTTGAAAAGAATACGATTTACAGCTAGGTTGGCGAGCAAACAAAGGAACTTTTTTCAATGCCGCAGCTCTGAATCTAAACATCCAACACCAACAACTCACCACCAATTTACAGGTGACCTTGGAGGCCACCGTGGCGAACGCTATGACGTACAGCACCGGGTGCGTTTCGTAGACGTGCTGCAGCGACTTCCTGTAGATGACGAACGCCGGCACGACCACCAGCGCCAACGGGATGCTGGGAGACAGCACCGACGTGCCCTGGCGGCCGCCGAGGGGAGGGGTTAGACATGGCGAGTGAGGGCTGGCCGTGAGTAGGAGATAGTTTACAACGAATAGGTAATCGTTTAAAAACATGTTTGTTAATAATTTCAAATATACAACGCTCAAAATAAGATATACATTTTAGCACAGCGTCAAGCGAACTTTATTACTGTAGTTTATTGCTTAAAAAAATCAAACGAACTACTGACAGCGTATCAAAGAAAGACGTTTACTGTATGCCTGGCCTATTCAAATACATTAGCCTGAGGGGTGTGGTAATAACTGGTGTAAGCAAAGTGACCACGGTCAAAAACGAATTACCAAGTCAACATTTTGGGATGTCCTCGTTCAAAAAACGGCTAAGAGCTTCGGTCTAGACAATTATTTTATCGTTGGCATACAGTAAAATACATACCAAACTCGGCCGGTGATAAATTTTCAAGACCTCAGTCCTTACTGATTTTTGAACTCGGCCTTCGGCCTCGTTCAAAAATTCAGTAAGGACCTCGGTCTTGAAAATTTATTTACACCGGCCTCGTTCAGTATTATATAATACTGAACGAGGCCGGTGTAAATAAATTTTCAAGACCGAGGTCCTTACTGGATTTTTGAACGAGGCCGAAGGCCGAGTTCAAAAATCAGTAAGGACTGAGGTCTTGAAAATTTATCACCGGCCGAGTTTGGTATGTATTTTACTGTATGCCAACGATGCCAACGATAAATTTATTTTCTGGACCGAAGCTCTTAGCCGACTTAGGAACGAGAACATCCCAAAATGTTGGCTTAAGTGCATTCTGGTAATGCATTTTTGACCGTGGTCAATTTGCTTACACCAGTTATTACCACACCCCTCTGGCTAATGTATTTGAATAGACCAGGCATACAGTAATATATATTACACACTCCAGTCTACAATAATAGTTCTAGCTGCAAATAATAACAGCCTCGTTCTACACATCTGAAAGCTACATAGCATGCACTACAAAAGGACAACAGAAGACGACAAAACACAAGCACAGCTACTACGCACGCACACCAAACAACAAAGAGCACAGCGTAACAAAAACCACCAATCATCAAACGTCAGTGTGCAAAAGCATTTATAAACACTATCTGCAGAGCGCAGTGTCGTGCCACCTTCGCCATTCTACACCTCCCCTCCTCCCCATGCAGTGCGCTCAAGGTGGGCGCTCTTGTGAGACGGAGCGCAGCGTTACGGGGCGGCCCGGACGTCATGGGGTCCGATGGTGGCTCACCGACACACGACAGCCGGAAGGGAGCAAATGGGCGCGTGACATGACGTGGCCAGAGTCGCTCTAGCCAGCACGCGGCCAGACGAGCGAGGAGATGTGTAAAGTGGCCACATTTAGCAGCGTCCCAACTCCCAGCTGCGTATATTATGGTCCGTGTACCGCGGCTACGCAGTGGACCCCAGTCGCTATTGTTGATAAAGCACGGTGACTAGATAAATGGTGTAGAGTATGATGGACGGGTGTGATTGCGGCTGACTGAACTTAACTTTCCGAGATCAGTGAAACTTAAAATGTCACCGAACAAATGTCGATGCCGGGCTTTGGACTTTGCAAGAAACAAGTGTTCGCCATTTTAGCATAAAAAAGTTAAGTATGAATGTGTACCGATAGTTTTACGGCGACGGTATTTTTCACAAGAAAAGAAACAAAACTATGTTGCATGCCATAACTGAATCGCTGCACCAGTTTTTACCAAAACGTAAAATCCGTCACATGCCCCACACCCGAGGGCGGCCCATATGCCCATGTGCCCATCATTTCCCTATCAACAGGTTTCTACACCCCTACCAACAGTCCAGCGCACCCTGCGCCCGGCCGCTGGGGGCGGGGCGGGCTGCTATCGGTTCGCCCAAGTGGCCGGGCCGAGTCTCACTTGACAGATACAGTACACATCGACACTTCAGTGGGTCCACCACCAGTGGCCCGGAGCAAAGGTCAATAGCGGGGTCACGGCGGACGAGGCCGTCCCGTCCCGTCCCATCCCCAGCGTGTTCGAGGAGCGTGCCCGCCCCGTACCTTCACAGCCAGAGTCAGAGGGTGGTATAGCCAGCGCTGTATCCAAAACGCGAGACTCGCGTCCCACGGGAGGCGGGTCACCATCATGTCAGCTGTGGTGTCCAAAAAGAAAGAGAAACAGAAGAGACCATAACAGAAACTATGTGAAGCAGTAAGGGCGGTGTGTAGCAAGCTGTGACAAATAGGTACTGTGCATCCATGCCCGTGCGATAGTGCAAGAAAAAGATCAGACGGACCAAACTGAGAAGATCAAATCACCAGTAAAGGATCAAATCAATCTTCAGGCGACTGCGAGGCAGAAAAAGCGCGTTCGGGTCCTTCCGGGCCTCTCTAGCAGCTAGTCACAAAAACAGGCGCGTCACAACGCCAATAAACAGACGGGGGCGTCACACCATTGTGTGACGTCACCGGTCACGTGGTCCACAGTGTAAACAGGCGCCGCGTGGTGGCCGATCAGCTGGTGGGGAGCGGGGGGGGGGATAGTGGAATCTGGATGAGATCAGAGCATCGGGGCGGACGGAGAGAAGGGAATCGACAGAGGGAACAAACCACAGACTAGAAGGCATTCGTGACAGAAAAGTTGCTTATTGAAAGTGAAAATATCAACTGCATGGTTGCAATTGGTTGCAATTCACTGGGTGAAAGCTGGACCAGGGTAATGGCTTCATTGAGAGTAAATGAACGAGAAAAAAAAAAACTGGAAGACGGATGTTTTTGTACCTAAAAAAGTTACAAAGGACTGATCGAGGATGAGAAAACTAAGTAATACATAGGTGTAACCAGAAACGTAAATGGTCAATCGACTGTGTCAAAGCTCTGACCGGGAGGTGTTTCATATTTAGTGCACAGGACAGAGGACAGCTGCGGGTTGGAGACTGGCGGACGATACAGGGCAGCCACACGGCGGCTGGCAGTGTGTACAGAGGAGGGTAGCGCTGTGCGGCAGCCGTCGCCATGGACCAGTGACGTCACTATATCTCCTGCCGCGCCACTCACGGCCACCGTGGAGCCGTTTTTGCCGATACCGCCGCGCATGATGCGCCCGAAGTACTGGTGGACGTGCAGCGCGGCGGCGCCCACCGTCGCCGAGAAGGGGACCATCTTGAGCGGCACCGTCAGACCCCCGTACAGTCGGATCTGAGGACCGGCAGCCGGCGCAGTCAGCGGGGGCGCGTCCCGAGCGAGACCGGTGTCCCCTGAACCCTCCCTCTGCCCGGCAGCGCAAGGGGAGGCGGTCGGAGGGATGGGTGTGGCAGGAACTAGATAAATGAGCCCTTCTGTGGATATTGTGACGTGGGTATGCGGGATATTGCAATGTGATAGGATGGCTGTTCGCTACCCAGCTGACCGCTGCTCACCGGATCATGCAATGGCTTAAACGGGTACCGGTTATTTCCTGTGAAGGCAGAAGTCAACAGCGTCGTCAGGACCCCACAATGCTCACGGCAGAGAAGACATGCTATTGTAAATAATATCATCTGGTGCCCAGTGTGTTGATGCGATAATCGTCATTCCGTCGATACCCTCAATTGGACCCTGCTGACAGTCCCCAGCGCGGACTCGCGGAATTCAGCCAACGGCCGATCCAGGACCAAAGTCCGGCCCGAGAACTCACTGCCCACGCCACCAAACACCAGTCGGTTCGGAAAGGTCAGTGTCCGCCTCTGTCGTCCCGCGTCGACAAACTAAAGGCGCTCTCCACGCTGGAAATAGAGGCTAAAGTCGATGATAGGGCTTGTCAATGGTGATATCAGAACTTCAGTGCGACCCAGCACGATACATTCTTCGTCGTGCGGCAGTCCATTTAAGTGGCAGAGTACTTCAGTTTGGCATCTGCCCTTCAAAGATAAGAAGAGGTAGACTTCCATTCTCATGCGCCCAGGTGATCCATAAATATCGTTCAATTCATGCAGCATTGGTTTTTCTATATCCTCCTCCGATCCTGTGACAGCCTGATGACAATCAATAACCATCCACCTTCCCGGTCGCCGCCTATTGACTTCCTCTCTGGCGGTCGACAGACGAGGTGCTCAATACAGACCCGCCGCGGCTCCCCGTCAGACTCCACAGGGCTATCACCGCCGGCTCGGCTCTATCTATGTATAGGCGGGTCGATGTCTCCGGGAGACGATATTCCTCTCCCTCACGCTATCAGACAGTCACGCGGCCCCCACAGTGTATCGAGCCACGCTCATAGAAGCGATGTCCAGTCAGTTGATTCCAGCTCGGGAGCGTAGAGGCTTGGTTCACAGTAACATTGTCGCAAGGACACAGCTATTTGAGAAAACGCTACATCTTATCATATCAGCTAATAAAATCACGACCAATTCAATCATCCACAGTGAGAAACTTCCCTTCTGACTTGATATTACTTCAGGGCCTGGGGACGGCGGCATTTATTAGATTTTGCGCTCTTGGGACGAGTCCAATCACCACCCGTCGCCATTCTAGCAGGTGTTTCGATCCAGACGGCATGCAGTACCGTGTCAACCAGCCCTCACCCCAGACAGACCCAGATGCATTACCTGCCCGGTCCCTGGACGTAAGACAGACACCATGCAGTACAAATCCCGATACCCCGCGTCATTCCAGTTTGAGGACGTGAATCTCCAAAATCAGCACAGCCGTTAATGCATCGCTTCTAATTCAGCTCAGGACAGAACTGACGGAATCCACTCAACACACTTGTCTACATAAGACGACGAGACAGCCAGTGAACGGCGGGTAACACTCTAGGAACACGGTGAACTATCACACCCAGAGCTTACTACACAGTGATAAGGAAAGACTATCGAAACACATAACAGACACGCCGACAACAACACATCCAACTTACCTACCAACAACAGACACCCAACACCCATTCCCCAATACATCGATGACCTAGTCTGAACTACAGCAATCTGCCCTGTCACCCACACACTCGTAACACACACGACTCCTCAGCAGCCTGACAGTCGCACCGATCCACAGTCCAGACAGGATGTTCAAACCTCGCCATCAACCACCGCCCTGCGCTTACAGCCACACTGGATCCGTTCTTGCCGACGCCGCCCGTCAGGATGATGCCGAAGCTGCCCACCAGGTGGATGACGGTGACGCCCACGCCCATCACCACCAGCATCACCTTCAGCTTGTAGCCCGTGTTGCTGATCTGCAGGGTCGCTGACGTTAGCTTTGGGGGCCCGGCGTGCGTCGGGACGGAGAGCCAGGTGTAGGGAAAGCGTGGGTATATACATGAGGCTTTGTGGGAGCTTAAAGGTAGTGTGCCACCTTTGAAAGATTTCCCGTTTTATTTTTCCTAGGATAAGAAGCTTCTGTTTTTACCTAATATCGCAAAAAAAAAAAAATCAAAAATGGGCCTGGAATAGTGCCTTTTTCGCCTAAAAGTTTATCGGTTTTTAGATATGTATAACAACTGTAGTGGGCTCACCTGCAAACAGGCGTCGGGCAAGAATCGCGAATGCGGCGCACTTGTGACAATAAGCAAAGGTCATTATAGTGTTACGACCCTACGACGTACGGGAATGAGTTATCAGCTGTCTAATCGTAGACAACACAATGTCGAGCCTTAAACTGTAAGCCTGTATTGGTATTGTTTCTTAAATTTGGCTGTCGAACATTAATTTGTGGTTTGAAATATGATTTTATGTAAAATAATTGATATGAAACAGCCGTCTCTTAAGTTATGACCCCATTACACCACATGCAAGTGGCAGAAATGACAATGATCAGCTGACGCATTTTTCTTGGCCGAAGTCAGAGCGCGCGGCCCGACGCACCACGCGTATTTGGAAATTCCGACCTCGACGAGCATCAGAAGCCACCTAACAGGCGTGTTCGAAACCGCAGGAGATGATGATGAACGGGTTTATCGAAACTTGATTGGATGAGCCTATCGGCAATAGCGATTTTAGTGTGTGCATTTATTGTTCATAGTGGTGTGAAATGTGGTTGGGGTACGACCGACAACCCGTCGGGGCGAATTTCGCACTGGGGTACTCAAAATTTGAAGAATTTAAGACGTTTCCATAAGTTTTGAAGGTATGGATAAGTTCTAAAAATCCGGTTCTCCTTATCCGGGTCATTAACTCCATATGGTCCATGAAAGCTGGCACACTACCTTTAAATACAAATTACTATGTTAAAAACCAACTGCAAACAATCAAAGATGAAGGCAAAAAAAACGAGACGTTACAAAAGCACCAATCGAACTTAAGCACCTAGAGATTATTAATGAGTATTGAAAATGTCAAAACGCCTACAAGACAAACGAAACTAAAAGCAAGGTGAGCAGCTTCAGCAGCATACAGGATGATGTTCGGTTATCTGTCGATTTCGGAAGAGTCTGCAATTTCATCAAATCGCCCATCCACAGACCACAACAATACAAAAGATCATTGCCTAGGAGCAGCATCACCCACCAACGATCCACAGATAAAATCCGCAAAAATAGACTACAGAATCAGCATCCGACAGATCGGTCACTGACCGCCCAGACATCTAAAAACACGGCCCATCTATCGTCCAACACCATCCATCCCTGCCAGAATGACGCTATCGGCGACAGTACCACCCCACATCCCCCCGAGCGACCAGCGGGCACACCCCGGCCTTGGGGTGTCACGGTCTCGGTCACCCCCGGCCAGCGACACAGTCCGCCGGCCGGGGGGACGGGACGGCGGGTCAGAGGGCAGCCGACCGAGCCCGGCACTCAGCGGTGCACCCGGCGGCTGCAGCGCGGCGGTCGGGACTCTCCACGGCGCGGAGTGCTGATTATGACAGCCCGGCGCGGCGACGGACGGCCACTTCACACTGATTGGACCGACAGGCAGGGCCGAAAGCGCCCGGCGCTACTGGCGGGGCACGCTCCGTGTTGCATGTTACGTAAGGGGATCACAGCGCTGGCGGCAACGCTGCTCGAGAAAACCAAATAAGCCAAACGATGAGCGACGCAAATGCTTGATTAAGTACATTGCCGTAAAACATTGCACCCATTACCATTCTGAATTGAAGACTGGACAGTTTTTTACCAGCGACTGCTCACAATAAATACACCTGTGTATGTTAAGTGAAGAGCTGATAGTACAAATGATCGGGGCCACAAGTGAAATTATCTTATCAATGTCTGATATTGAGACAGCACGTCTTCATCGAAACTTGTGTGTGTGCTAAAACCGGCACCGCCAGTTCTAAACACAAACGCACCATCACAACCCACTTCACGAAGGAAAAAAATACTAGACACCATATTTCAGCTTCGTCGTACCAAATGCTCCGCATAATGTAGAAAAAGTAGCCTTGTAGTAGAATCTTCAAAGTGAACGAACTTAATAAATATTTCCGTTTCGCTGGGGCGACACGGGCACTTGAATGAAACATAGTGGTGAGAAATGGCTGAAGTATGTGCCGCGGTAAACAGTAAGGTCGTAACTCACGGCACTGTGGGCGGGCCAGGGTAATACATGGGTGGAACACCACAGTCACTGAGCACGAGTGAACAAAAATGGCCCCCTGTGACCTGGCGACAGCGTCACTTGAGCTAAAGTGCACGTGGTCACGTGGTCCGCCCCAAATGGCATAAAGCGGACCGAATTCGTGATCCATGACCAGTGACCACACACGTCAAATGGCCTAAAAAGACCACTTGACTTGACAAATTCCAGTGACGTAGAGTGACGATCACTCTACGGTGATCTATCCAAGCACTCGTGAACTAGTCTGTTGAGATTGAATTGCTACAACGACCCGACCCGTCCCAATGGTCTAAACCGTCCAGTGACCCGACCCGTCCCAATGATCTATCCGTTCAGTGACCTGACCCGACCCGTCCACACCAACCCGTCCCGACCGGCGACCCGTCCACAGTGACCTGACCTCCATGTTCCAGATGTCGGAGCCGAAGATAGCGCCGATCACGTACAGCGAGATGACGCAAAACTGCTCCTCCGTCACGTCAATTTTGCCAAACTTCAGCGTACCTGGCAACACACACGGGAAATTAGTATCACCACCGCATAGAATCACACCGCCGGGGCTGAGCGATAACACACGTCTCTCATATCGACCCAGATCTAACCGCTTCAATATTGGGATGCGGGCTGGAGATGGCTATAGCAGTACCGGCGTCGGTAGTAGCTGTGACGGGAGAGGGGCCAGGGGTGGGTTGGGAAGGATGCGGGCCTGGACGGCAGGAGGGCTCACCTAAGACAAAGGTCTCCCAGTGGCCGATGCAGATATAGAAGACCGCTCACCCGAGACCAAAGTCTGCCAGTGGGCAATGTAGCTATATAAGACAGCTCACCTGAGACGAAAGTCTGCCAGTAGGCGATGTAGAGATAGTGCTCACCTGAGGCGAACGTCTGCCAGCGGTCGATATAAAAGACAGCTCACCTGAGACAAAGGTCTGCCAGTGGGCGATGTAGAATAGCGCGATGGCGGTGAAGCAGACGACAAACATCATCATCGGCGACTCTCCCATACTGGTCATGGTGGCAACGCCCACCACTACAAACACTGGAACGGAACAAACACGGGGTTAAAACCGGCACATAAAGACGAACGAAAGGTACTACAAAAGTACGAGAAACACACATGTGGGACAAACACCGATGAGTGATAACAACCACTGCAGCTGGATGCTATTTTGTATGGCTTTTGGCGTCAACTAAATACACGATCTGTTGCCGAGACGGGCTCCCGACAGCTTGCAACTACTAATTCAACTATAAGCTCAACAACTTAGCCCTATTAGTGGCAGGCTCCTGGCTACCCCATATTAGTGGCAGGGGGGGGGGGCTGTTTACGACCCCCCTTGATATCTCGAGATCTAACCGGCCGATTTTCAAAATTCAAACGGCATTCGATTTGGCTCAACGAGATCTACATTTCTAAAAAAAAAAAAAATTAAAAAATGTCAATAGGGGGGTAGAGGGGGTAAAAACGGGCAAATTGCAGATACATTTTAGACTGTTTATCACGGCCAGGTTTCTGAACCAATCTTAACGCAACTATTGCCGATCGATAGAGAATGAACCAGGAATTCACATGGATCCTAAAAATATGCATTTTCAAAAATCATAGGCGGATACAGATCATTGAGATTGGGGGTACACAAAAAGTATAGTAAATAAGGTTTTTGTTGGTACTGTTTCTAAAAAGGGTGGCAATGGTCTTGTTATGTTACAATTTTCTTATGAGAGAACGACTAAAATTGTATTGGTCATGCATAGGCGGTGTCAGGGCACCTATGTTGGGAGGTAAAAAATAACCCCCCTTTTTGGACGCCTGGATCCGCCTATTATAGCAAAAACGTGTCAAAAGAGGATGCACAATAACTTTGTATATGTTATCACATGATACCTTTCATTCACTGTTCGTAAAACTGGTGCAGCATCGTGATCTTCGCCCAAATGACTCGCTTCACGAATAGGACCCCCCAATTCCCAGTGCTCTGGAGCCGCCCCTGGTAAAGTTATGAACTTGAAATTTTCAGGGAATGTGCCCAATTTAGTTTTAGGAAAAGTCGGAAAATTTCAGCATCGTAGCTTCAGCAGTTTCGGAGATATTCCCGAAAAACCTGAGGGGTGGATAAAAACAACCCCCCCCCCCTGCCACTAATAGGGTTAACATTTCGCTATCACCCCAAGCTTGCATAAAGCATCGCTAGCATTTGTCCCTGAAAGGTGGCACAAACCCGACACGTTTCTGCGGGCTGCAGCGCGCCAGGGCCATTGTGACGATCAATATTCCGTGACAGCGGGCTCTGTGCGCCGTACCGTCTGCTCAGCTCACACTACAGTCCGTCCGACACTTCCCACAAAGCCCACTTCATCATCGACAGGCAGCCGTACAAGCGCAGCGGCGCATATAAAACGGGATTGGAGCTTCACTGCTCGCGTAACCACACACGCCGGCCAATTAGTCAAACGGTGTGACCTTTGATAAACAGCCTTTGACAAACGCTTAGCACATGGTCATCGTGTGGCTTCCATATGGAGCTTATTGCCCCGCGACGCGGTGTTGTGCCTCGCTTTCAACAGGCTTCTTTGACTACCCCAATGGGACCTTTTAAAGGAGATGGACTACGGAGTGAGATTGACTACGGAGCCTCACCTACGGACACGGAGTCGCAGCCGTGGTCAAACAGCTCGCCGAGCGGGGACGAGGAGCCCGTGCGGCGCGCCTGTTTGCCGTCGATGGCGTCCAGACTCTGGTAGATGAACAGGCCCAGTCCGGCCAACAGACAGGCCCACTGCGGGGTCTGTCGGACGGAGCAGGGACGTCAGAGACGGTAGGGGAGAGTGGGGCACATTCGTGCAAAAAATGGATAAACCCATATATCTGTTCTTTGGTTAGTGCAATGGGAAAATTGTTGATTGTAGTATGGAAAGGAACTATTGCAGATAGTTTTCCTCTTTAAAATTTATCCTATAAAATTATTGCTTCCATTAGAAAAAAATGACTTTTATTAACTCTGAACATTTGCACGAAACTGCCCCAGCTATGGGGCACATTCGTTCAAGAGATGGGGCACTTCCGTTCACCCGGCAAAATTCGAGAAATTACCGGGCATTACCAGAAATTTACCAAAGGAAATTGGCAGGGGGTCATTTCACTTGATTCCTTTCGACAAGAATGCATTGCACAACAAATGTAGAAAGAATGGGCTGGCCAACAAGAATGTGCCAACTGCCGGCCTCCGTGACCTCGCCAAGTTCGCGTGAATTGCTCGTCACGACGTCGCAAGCAGTCGAGACTGAGTCAGGCGAGCGTCATTAGAGAAACCTACTACAGATAAAGTCATAAATCGCAAAAACTAAAAAAAATATGCACGAATGTGCCCCCAGGCAGTGCGTACACGAACCTGCCCCACAACGTTATTAGTAATATATTTCAAAATTTCTTTTTGAAAAAATGACACTTTTTCAACAAACAAGTTTGCAGCAGTTCCGTGAATAGAGTGGGCTTCTTCACCCCCAATTTTGAAAAGCTGAACCACATTTCCGAGTCAGGATCACGAAAATGGATGATATGAGAAAAGTTTGGAAAGCTCACGAATATTACAAATTTGCGTTTTTATCAAGCATGACAGCAGGTACAGTGTTGTCTTCTACGGTGAACGAAGGGCGGCAATGATAGACATATTTCCATAATTTACCTTGAGCTCGTGCAGTCACTCGTGTTCCCATAAACTGCTGAAAACGAATGTGCCCCATGCACGAATGTGCCCCACTCTCCCCTACGGAAGAAATTAATGGCGTCGTCCCGCTGCATGAAGAAATTCATAGGTGCTTGCATAGCTGTTAAAAAAGGGCTGCTTCTGCCATATCGATAAGTGACTTTTACAGTGATTGGTAGTACTTGCCAGAATTATCGTCGAAACTTTGTCAGTGCTCCGACGAAACCACCTGCACCGTTATCCTCCTCGCGATTCACAACAGGCGAACGGGCGTCGAACGCCCTACCCCTCCCTCCCTCCCCTCTTCCGGGCCGCCGCCCGGACCCTCACCGATCCCCGTACCTCGGTCTCCGTCACTCACCGATCCCTTGGCGTCCGGGTTGTAGTAGACAAGGATGAGCGTGGTGGCGATGTTGACGGCCAGGCCGGCCAGCGTGATGAGGTTGGGCGCCAGCCACAGCGGACACCGGCCCACCAGCCAGTTCCACCAGGGCTGCATGTACGGGTCGAGCACGCTGTCACTCTGGCAGCTGTACTTGTGCTGGTCGAGATTCTGCAGCTGTGTCGGCGACAGCAGCCGCTCGCGGCCGAACAGCATGGCGCCGCGGTGAGGGGGATCTCCAGGAATCGGCAGGCGTCACAGCAGCACCACCTCTGCCGAGGAGAGGTGGGAGGTCAGTCAGAAACGTTGGATCATGTGTGTGTGTGTTTTTTTTTTTTTTTTTGTCAGTGGCATGGCATAACATAACAGCATCTGCAATCTTCACCCTACACTTAACCTTATAATTTTTTTATACTTTTTTACCATTCAACATCTAAGCAGCTGATCAAAGACAGTACCAAGCAATTGACAATTGAGCCTTCAAATTTCACCCATGCATTCTGTCTAAAGTCTTTTGTTATCCTCATGTTTTATTTTCAGACCATGAATTTACATAACTTTATTTTAAATTAGATAGTTCAATGCAACTGTAATCTTTATATAGTCAGTCATTCAAATCAGTCACTGCCTTCAGGTAGAAGGTGGGTAGTCCCTACTCCCTGGTCTAGTGTAGTAGGTACTCCTGTATCAACAAATCTAGAAATAGCAAAAAGGCTTTGAAATCACTTATCATATTGACAGCGCAGCAGTTCTACTCCACAAACACAACAGAGCCATTACACAACAGCTTTGACAAAATATGCACACATTAAGATTTAAGTTACCTTTGTTTTACCCAAAGCTATATAAAGTTTTCCCCAAACACAATTTTTTTGTATGGGCTGCACATAAAAATTTAATATTATTTTGTAGATAATTCCAATTCACAGAAGCTAGGCTATATCACAAGAGCAGCAAGACCATGCACACCAGCAACTCAAGATGACACAGAAAATATTAATCAAGAGACCATGCAAAACACATGTGCCATGAGGTTACTTGACAAATAAGTGCATGCCTAAAGCCTAAAGGTCCATGAAGCATGAAGGTTTTGGTAATTGACATACAAGTTTATTTGCCAAGTGCAATGCACTTGTATTTCAATATACAAATAAGTAAATAGGTACCTACCCATTTGTGTTCATATTTGACTTAATTAATGCTTTAATCTTTTAGTTTGACCATCTCAACTTTAAACTCAACATGACCATCTCCACCTGAAATAATTGGTCAAGAAGAGCATATCTTATTCAACCATTAGCTTTTGACCAGCTGTACAGCCCACCGCTAAAGTAATGTAGGGTTTTACCAATCTCAACGGTTGGCTTTGACTGGCGATTGTTTAATGCGGAGTAATTGAAAAGAAGATGTCAATAGCTTAAGTTGAAGCTGCAAGGGTGACAATACATATAAGCTACATTCAAAGTTTCATTGTAGTCTGGCTAATCGTTCCTAAGCTTCAGAAGCAGAACATACCCATGACTGAAACCGCACATTACTTCTGCTGTGGACTGTACCTACTTATGCATAATGCTCAATTCCGAAGCCAAGCTTCACTCCGGGTTATTCCAATTCTTTGAGTGCCAATGTCATTTCACAGAATACATCAGTTGGGCAAACTAGACCTTTGGAATCAAAATATGGAGGCATCAAAAGATTGATTCCTTATGACCATATTTGGGCATAAATGCAGACCATTTCTAACATACCAATCACATAAAAATAAGAGGGTGTTTCAAGAAGGAGCATGCCTGATCTTGAACAGAAATGCTGGAGCTATCTCCTACGCAAAATAATATTGCTCTTATCATAACAATTTGAATTCTATAAGTAGTGAAAGGCAATCAAGGAATTGATTCACTTTAAACAGATAATCATAATATTGATTCCCCATCAGCTGGCTAATCATTATTTTGATTCACAGGTAATGTTAAGAGATAGGCAACAATGACTTGCAGGAATACATCATTTATCTTGCTATTATTCTCATTCAGTGGTATCCTCAGCACCACAACAGATACCTATAGCATTGTTGTACTTAACCTTCACTACATTTGATAACAATTCACAATTTTTAAATGTCAAAAATACAAAAACTGAAGCAACAGGTAAAAACCATATAATAAATATAAAAGCACTACAACAATGATAATTAGTGGTTTGAAAATTTCATTTTGTCATTTTACACGAATACTGATTGTTTAGTATGCGATTCGTGATACAAAAATAACATACAGTGTGATTTCCTCAAAACAGCTTTTACGTGATGGACAGTGGCTCTGTCTTTTTCCCATTCACAAGGCCAAAGGGACAATTTCTTAATTTTGAGGTAACACTTTTTGGAAACCTACCACATTTTTCTACCTTTTTAAAGAAAAATCTCACCGTCATGGGCCTTTTTTCAACCGTAACGATACATTTGAAGTCAAAAGTGTACCCAAATGAATCAAAAAATTGATTCCATGCCCATATTTGGTCATGGCTCCTCCCACCAGAATCAAATTATTGATGCCTCCATATTTTGATTCCAAAAGTCTAGTTTGCCCAACTGACATTTGATATAATTCTAATTTCAGAGCATATCAGGTAAAAAATCAAGCAAATAAAATATCAACATGCTGACAGATATATGCAATATGCATGCCAAACTTGATATTCATATCATTACTGAAAAATTTTGACTGGTGACTTTGTATTCCGGAGTCCTCCAGTATGAAGCAAAAATATTTTCCATAAAACTTACCTAAAGAAGCTGTAAAGATTGCTGATCTAAGATATTTCATTCAAAAACAGCTACAAAACGAAAATTCAGCAATTATCCCACTCCGCTCACTCTCCCCCACCACCAAACTGAAAAACACAAACACAAGCGACGAAATGTCGACGATTTCGACTCACCAACGTTTGAGGTTTCTCGTTTTCTCCAAGATTTGGTCTTATGACGTCACTATTTCAGGGCAAAAAGGAGGGTTACGATTGGTTGTTGGAGTGAATGGTGTGAACAAGGCCCTAAAAAGATGTAAATAAGTGGCAACTACTAAAATGAAATAACCAAGGCTAAGAACGGCGCTTATTAGCGGTTGAGGCGCCGAGGGTCTACGCTGGCCATATTTCGACTCAGCAGGGCTCCACAGAGCTCGTAAGAGCACCACATGGGCTCCTAAATAGCCACGCTAAGAGATCCACAAGGGCCCTGGACCCCACGCCACGTAAGCCTCTGAGGGCTCCTTGCCGGCTTCTGAAAGCCCCCACGGCCCACCGGCCTATTTTGGGTCAGCTCTAAGGGTCCTACACCCACCTGTGATGGCCTTGCCCTTGGCCCCACACAATTTTCTCTGAGGGCCCCAGGGCTGCGGAGTCGGAGTCGGAGTCGGGGTCGGTCAGAGTCGACAGTTGTGACCGGAGTCGGAGTCGGAGTCGGAGTCGATTTTAGAAACCCGAGCCGGAGTCGGAGTCGGAGTCACCGAAAATCTGTCGACTCCGCAGCCCTGCTAGGTCTGCGGAGTCGGAGTCGGGAGTTGGAGTCGGTCGGAGTCGACAATTCTGCCCGGAGTCGGAGTCGGAGTCGGAGCTGGTTTTTGAAAGTCGTAGTCGGAGTCGGAGTCGGAGTCGCCGAAAATCCATCGACTCCGCAGCCCTGGGCCCCCATAATGGCGACTGTAAGGGCCCTCATTGGGACCTCTGAGAGCCCACACGGCCACACCGACGTAACTGAGGGACCCGTACAGTCCCATCTCTGAGGGCCTACACCAGTGCAGTATATGGGCGGTTCTGAGGGCCCTACACCAGCGACTCTGACTGACGGCCCCGCACTGGTGACTCAGTGGGTCCCAGCGGCGTCTGAGAGTACCATACCGGTCGGCGGTCTCGACCCCTAAAGGGCTCGTCTGCCTATGAGGGATCCTCACCAGCAGTCTAAGGGCTAAAGTAAGGACCCAACAGCCTAAGGACCACCGCGTAAGGACCCAAGCACGCCTGTGATGACCCTAAACCAGTGTCGCTGACCGTCCCACACCCGCGCTTCTGAGGACCCCACATACACTGCCATCTCTGAGAGTCCCACATCAGTGCTTCTGAGGGCCCCACATCGGTACCCATGAGAGCCCCACACCAATGCCTCTTGAGGCCTTATATAGGCGGCTCTGCGGGCCCAACACCAGCGCCTCTGAAGGCCCCACATCTGCACATCTGACGGCCACCCATCGGTGACTTTTGAGGGCCCCACACCGGCAACTTAGAGGGTCCCACCTACGTCTGAGAGCACCGTGCCGGTCTTAGACGGTGAACCCCACACGGCTCCTGAAGGTACCGCCGGTCTCTAAGGACACTTTACCCGACCGGCCTCTGAGGACCCCCTTGCTCCTAAGCCAGGCACCTTGCGTTTGTTATTCAAATTGAGATAACTTATAGAATTAGAAGCTGCCCACAATGCATGTCCGTAAAGTTAGCGTCACTCGCACAGTGCCCCGCGCCTACAATCCGAGATAGGTAAAAGAAAAAAGTCAGTTCTGTTATTAGTGGGAAAAACGCATTAAAATTTACAGACGGTTTCCCAGAATAATCTGGGAAAATATGGCATTCCGTCAGTACCTAACAGAAAAATGAGGGCGAGTGGGAAATCCCGGTCTGGCTCATTCGAACGATCGCAAAGAGAAGTACCTAATTAATTGGTAACCATTAAGTGGAGCTGACGCCACTTGCACAGGGGTGAAACGAAGGGTGGCCACTTTGCCCCACTGTCCCCTAACACGAGAGTCGTGTGGACTGCGGAGAGCTGCTGGGGAATAGTAGCAAAACGACTCAGCGATCGCAGTACCGTGCGAGCATCGCTGGAAAACACTCCCTGACATTCACAATGCTCTCCTGTGACTCAGGCATGAGAAAGAAAACGTAGCAGAGCGTGGTTTCGATCCACGGACCTCTGGGTTATGGGCCCAGCACGCTTCCACTGCGCCACTCTGCTGACAGATTTCCTACCTGTCCGTTAGGCGGCGCTGGAGGCGGTGAGTCGGTAGCCTAGAGGTGTGGTGGAGTCACTCTGGACGTGGACAGTGACCTGACTGACACTGACCGGCGCCAGCAATCAGCATATTCACTGTTCATCTCACGGCCCGACGCTGGATGGCCGTGATCTTGCATCATGTGACGCAGGTGCTTGGTGTTTGCGTGCTGCGTGCACGCCCGAAATGAGAAAATACATGATAGTACCTATCCAAGATATTAGACCGTAACCCAGTGTTTTATTAGTGCAATTTCGGCTTCCACATCCGGGTGAAAACTATCAAGTTTGATGACAGCGTTGTTGGCATGACCGGCGAGCATGATTTTCGTAAGCGTTTAGGAACTCAAGGTCGGCGTTCGGCAGGAATTTCGCACCTCGAGCGACAGAGGAGCTTTAGGCCTTGGTAAGCAGGGTGGAACTCCTTAACCGCAGCCACCAGGAGCCAGCAACGCGGACCACACCGTGTGCCGACGGCCTCGAACAGGTGCTCCACCACCCACCAAGGTCAGAGCGCGCCGGGCCGCGGACTGAGGTGCCGCCAAACATTCCGAGACAATAAAAACGACAGGCAGCGCTGCAACTGGCGGTGGAGGGAGAGCAACTCCAGCCGAGGCTTTTTACTCGGTCCAGCCCGGCTTCGAGTTCTCGTGGGACTGGGACCTGCGTCTGGTCATACTGGAACCTTCTCAACGGTGCAGACGATGCTGAAATTACCACGGTAGATCCGCCTTTGGGCGACTTGGGGTCTTCAGTCCAGGCTGGACTCAAACAGTGGTCTGCTTTGCAGGTATAAATGCACAACGCTCACGTCCAACATCAAAGGCAGTCACGGTGACGTCAGTAGACCATGGGAAGCCATCGAGGACGCGGTCAGCAATTGGGCACTGCTGGAGCATTGCGTAGGCTTTTTATAGATATGGCAGAACAAAGGACTGTGTTGTGCAGAAGTTCCCTAAATATTGCTCTGTTGGACTCCAAGAAACTTTAACTAAATCAGCAGCACTATTTGATGACCGGTAAAACAAAATAAATGTTAGCGATTTTGTGTCTCATTTAGGAAAAGCACGTCGACCGATATTCTCGTCTGTTAGAAAACGATTAATGACTGAAGTGAATGGCGGTAATTAGGCTATTTAAATTACGTCACCACAGACGAGTTTCAGACGGTCGAAGCAGACACATCATTTTATGAGACCGCAGTAAAAAAAGATAAACAAATAGGCATCAAAGAAGCTCACAAATCAAATCAATAGGGATATCCTAAAGTGAGGAAATAAGGAAGGACCCCCTGAAATCGGTCAAAGGCATTCGCTATTTATGCATTTATCATTACCATTCATTCAAATTCCTCATGTACCCGTATAGATATATAGTTAACAAGACCGATGACGTGACACTGTAAGAAACTCTTCACTCTTCAGTCCAATGTTGTACCGTTTTGCCCACTGATGAGTGAATGTTATTGCCGCCATTTGACCCAAGGACGCTCCTGCAGTCACGTTCACGGTCTTGGGCTGCACTAATGAGACGCGCGGCCGATGGAACCGTGAATTACTGCCGCGGCCGATGGGACCGTGAGTTACTGCCGTGGAGGGGCTGACCGAGCGACCAGGCACCAAGGTGAACAGACTGAGATTTACACTCATTCATTTCATCATGTTTTGTGTTTGTGGGTTCGTGGCCTGCTGGTAGGCAGGCAAGCTGTGTTCACATTGAGATCTATTTGTATGAAAAGACGGCCATAGCTAGGTAGCTTACGCTTATGCTGCGCTCACGGCCCTCCATCGGAGCATGTGCCAGAGAATGTGACACTGCAGTTTGCAAACCTATGCAACACATATCCAGCCAGAGCTGTGCACTGTGCAGCAATGTGTCAGTAGAGGTCACAACTCCACCGTGTCGTATCGAACCTCACTCGTCGCGTTGACGTCGACCGACACGCTGACAGCACCCACTTTCATCCACGATGCAACTGGGCCTTTCGCTTTCACAGCTCGGGCGCACTGTGTATGTCGGTCCGACTAACAGGGAGACCCGGCCGGTCGGAACGGCACCGGTGCCCGTGTCGAGCTCACAAACACACCCGGGTGTCCGGACGACGTGTGACAGGCCGGCCGGGTACTGCGGCACAGTCTACCTCACAGTGCAGCTCGGCGGGTATTGGTAGGTTTTCCTAACATCGACTCTCTATCGGCAAATAATTAACATAATGTTATAAAAATAAGAAAATAGACAAGCAGAAATTCTACAAGACAGAGGCGTTTATGCAGTAACTGAGTAAAAAGCAACTGAAGACGGTTAATAATTTGTCTAAATGAACAATTAAAAAGGTACTAATGCTCCTCTTTCATAGACGACGAATGTCCTCAATTTTAACCCCATGTGTGTTTTTATGAGAAAAATTGAGGCCCAAGAAGGGGCATTCTCGGTGAGGCCGGTGCGTTTTCACCGGCGGCGGTGGCGGTCTCGCTGACCCCGTCCGTGCCCGCAGGCATTGTTTGTGAGTGTCCATCGCTCAGCCCCGGCGGCCACAGAGTGCCCGAGGCGGCGGGGCGGTCACGGCTGGCGCCGACGCCGCACCGACCCGACCTATAACGTCGGCGGCGTCACAGGCGGCTTCACTCGACAGCGCCGCCGCCCGCGGACACGCCACACCGCCGTCACGTGCCGCTGTCTCTGCCGCTCTCTCAGTGTGACCCGAGCGGGGCAGAGTGGGACACGTCGGTGCCGTTGCAGCGCAGCGTTCCTTACTGAGTCCCGGACGCTGACCGGCAGCTCGCTGAGCTCTGAGGTCTCTCGGAGGTCGATCGGAGGTCGCTCTGAGGTCGCCCCGCGCCGTGCCGATGCAGGACGACCCGACACAGCCGCTGACCAAGCCGCGGCCCTCGCTGTGGTGTCGC